TTTCAGTACTCATTTCTCCCTCTTATATTTGATGGCATACACACATTTTCCACAGGCAGAAACTCCCTACTGTTTTGGTAGCTCTTCCTCTTCCCTTAGCCTTAGTTTGGCTGTTGCTGCTCAGGAAGCCTTCCCTCACTGCATTAGGCTACTTCCAAAGAACTCCCACAGACTCCTGAACTCTTCCCAGGAGTTTACTTCACTGATCCCCTCTTCCTCGTGGGAAGGGAATGAAGTTGGCTGTTAGAGCCAGGGTATAGTGTAATGTCTTCCATACAATGGACATTCAGTGACTGTTCTAGGAAGAATGTTTGGATAGATGGAAATGGGTGGGAGGCTGAGTAGATGGATAGATGGGTAGATAATGGATGATGGGTGGTGGATGGATGATGGATGAAGGATGGGTGGATGGATGGATGGATGATGGATGATGGGTGGATAGGGAATGGATGGTGAATAAGTGAATAGGTGACTGGGTGGGTGGGCAAATGTTTGGACAGGCAGTGTATGACTTGTTGGATTTGTGTTTTGGAAGATGGAGTGTAGGTAGTGAGTCACAGACATGAACCTAACTTACGGCAGTTGCACGGACTTCAGGAAGGAAGTCTTGACCAAGCCAGTCTTAGGTGCTGGTGAGAGAAAGGAAGAAACGAGTGATGCTTTCAAAAGTGTAGAAGTTGAAAATTCTAGGAGTTGGCAATGTACTTAAAGCCGTGAAGGAGGATGAGGGAGAAAGATAAAGGACATCCATTCAAGGCGAAGAACTTGGCAAGTGGGGACATCTTTTCTAAGAAAAGATTAGTGGAGAAAATGTGGGACCTAGTGTGAACCCCACTGAGCATGTCCTGTGCGATTGCAGGAGTGGTTCATATCACCTTCAGCTAGAGCTCTGGGAGCCATCGGGCTGTGATGGGATTAGAACCACAGAAAGTATGCAAGGAATCACAAGAGTGACCCAGCACTGATGTGTGTGTGAGAGATGCTCATGCATCCACCAGGTGCGGCCAATGCATGTGGCCTTCCTGACTTCTGGGATTGCAGGGTCCCTGGGGGTGGGAGTTCTTCCCGTTTTCTCTCTTAAGTTCTGTGTGTGTGTAGCCTGGTTCTGTGAATGCTGTACATGGTCCACAAATACCTGTTTCATGAGAACTGGAAGTACTGGCCTTTTGGGCAAGTTGCTTTGTCTCTTTGGTCACGTTATGTCTTAAATAGAAACAAAAACAGGGTTGTGAAGGTGGAACTGTAGTGCAGACATGGAACCCTAAATAAAGTGCCAAACATTTTGCAAGCTAAAGGAGAAGACACAAGAATACCTGGGCCCCTGGAGCCACTCCCTGCCGGAGGAGTCTAGAAATGCCGGGCCTGTGGCCTGTTGTGGGCAAAGTTCCTGTTGGGTTCTAAGTCCCTTCGGGCTGCATCTGCTCTGTGCCTCAGGAACTCAAGAAAGAGAGCATGTTCAGAATCTGAACCTATGGCCTTCTAGACGTTTCTGGTGCCTTGCTGTTCAAATAGTGTGATCCATAGTCCAGCAACCCTGCATCTTCTGCATCTCCTAGGAGCTTTTTTGAGACGGAAACATTTTTGACCCAGCCAGTTTGGAAACTCAGGCCAATGAGACTCTGCAACATTTTAAACCTCCAGTGGATCCGGATGCACCCAGTTCAAGAACTGCTGTTCTTTTTGCTCCCAAGTGAACGTAGGAGGTGCCTCAACCTCACTGCAGACAGCGCTGCTTCTTGGCTCTGCGGGCTTGTATATTTCTGCCTTTGGTTGCCAGAAGTAGCTTGCTGCTGGCTTAGGAAAGAGGAAGCGACAAGCCCCACCTCACCCTACCCCACATGTCCATACACTCACCACTAGTAAACAACAGACTTGGGGCCTGGTGACTGTCAGGGAATTTCCAGGACCTGACAGGGCATGCCTCTGTCTGTGGAAGACAGTCTGCTCTGGTCTGTGGACGCCTGGGGCCTGTGCTGTATCCCTCCCCACTTACACACACACCTTTTCTTTCTCAAGCGTGTGTGTGTGTGTGTGTGTGTGTGTGTGTGTGTGTGTGTGTGTGTGTTTGAGGTGGTGCCAGAAGATACCTTTCCAGGAAGTGACAGTCGAGCAGATCTCGAGCAGAGCAGATGCTGTGTGGGGCAGGTGTCACAGTGAACTCTAGGAAGGAGCCGCCAGGCAAGATCCAGATAGAGGGACAGAGGCACAGAAGGCCGCTGTGTGGCTGCCTGGTGGGGTGGCAGGCAAGCTTAGGGAGCTAGAACCAGGGGTCTGGTAGGTCAGCAAGGGTGCTTGGTTTTCAGTCTAGGTGTGAGAGAAACTGCTCCCAAGTGTGTAAGCAAGGAGGCGATTCGGGCTGCTTCTCCGGAGGATGGACGGACAGACGGACGCAAGGGCCTGAGTGGGAGGACTGGGGTTGGGTAGAGGCAGGGATGAGGTGGAGAGGGGAGCTAGGGTAGTGAGGAGGGAGGGGCTGGAGGGCTTCTGAGGGTTAGGGTTACGGGAGAGCTTGGGTGGAGGAGGGGGCTGGGCTTTAAATCAGTTAGGGGAGTTAGAATCCAAATGAGAGAAAAGGGTGCTTTAGACCAGACCTATCCCCTGCTCATTAAAAACAAAACAAAACACAGGAGAACTCTGGTCCCCTTATCCAGGAAATCTGAATATCCATAGTGGTCTACCTTATTCCAAGGGCACACATCCATCACCTCCAGCAGCCTAAAATCACAGGTGCGTGGTACTGACCTCTATTTATACCATGAGTTATCAAACATGTACATACCTGTACCCACGATAGTTTAATTTGTATATTAGACGCAGGAAGATGTGAGCAATAACTAGTAAGAAAAAGAATAATTATAGTAGTATACTGTAATGAATTTATTTGAATATGGTTTCTGTCTTTCAAAAATATCATTTTTTTTTTTTGACAGAATTTACTAAGCAATTAGCCCAGGCTGGTTTTGAACTCACAGTGATCTTCTTGCCTCTGCCTCATAATTGTTGAGATTACAGACAGGCGGATACGTGCCACCATTCCCACATACATTATGTGCATATATAACATGTGGTAGTGGTATTTATTCGTCATGTTTAAGTGACTAGGTGGCCCAAGGTGCCATTGAAACCTCCTGTTTCAGCTTCTCAAGTTCAAAATATATTAGTGTGCCACACTCACCCTCTTCTCTCTCCCACAGTTAACCTTGAGTAGCTGAGATCAAGGTTATAGAAAGCACAGGTCAGAGCGGGTAACTGGATGTAGTTTTCTATAAGACCGCATGTGGCTTCACAGAAAACCCCTGTGTTGGTCCTCAGGGACCCTGGGCCTGGAGCTGCGGAATCCAGATTTCTCTAAGCCCCTTCCCAGTAGATTACAGCCTCTCCTTTGCCCATCTCGGCTCTGGTGGTCCCAGGCCAGGCAGGAGTCAAGGCAAGATGGGAGGCAGTGGTGGAGAGGAGAGCTGGGGCGGAGGGGGAGGCCTGGGGTTGAAGAGAGCTAGAGGAACTTGAGTCTTGCAGTCTGCTGAGACTTGGTCATGGTCTCTAAGAGGCTGTTCACCGGAGCTCAGCTAGCCCTCAGCTCTCTGAAGAGGGCTCAAGGGGACGGAAAGTCAGTTCTTGGCTAGGGGTAGAGTGGCGGGAAAATCCGAAAGGCTACAATGTGGTGTCACTTTCAGCATAAATGTGCAGGAGACCTGTGACAGTAAGTTTCATCATGAGATAGCAAAATGCTGTACCTAAAACATCTTCAAGGAATAAAATGCAAAAAGGAAAAAGGCTTGAAAATGTCAATTGAGCAGGGCAAAGGGCATGAACTATCACCCTGGCACTGAGGAGATTGACTTCACCAGTAGACAAAGCTGTTCCAAAAACAAACAGACAAACAATAAAAAGAGGAAAATGCTGATGTAGCTAGCCCAGTGCGATTTTCCAGCTGAGAGAGAAGGGTTAAATCAATGTAGCAGTTTAAGCCTTTCCTGTTTTGATATGTTAATTTATCAAGTACTTGGACCACAAAACATTGCATTCTACCTTTAGACATCATTGTGGTTTGGAATTTCCATTTGTTAAATTTTCAGTGCATAGCTCTCAGGAGGGAGAGGCAGGTGGATCTCTGCGCATTTGAGGTTAGCCTGATCTACAAAGTGAGTTCCAGGGCAGCCCAGGCTACATGGTGAGACCTTGTCTCAAACACAAACAAACATTGTCAGTGCAGTCAACTCACTAATGTGCTGAAGGAGTGAGCATCTCAGAGGTCCCCTTTTGCCGCCGATAACACTGCAGCTGCCCATCTACCATCTGATGTGGTCCTGACCATAAAAAGGAAGGCGTTTTCAACCCCCAAATTCCAGAGGAGGAAACTGAGCCTCAGAAAGAGTCACGAAATCAGGCAAATGGCTGGCCCTGGCTTGACCTCTGCTTCTTTTGATCCCCAGTCCAGAATCTTGTCCAAGATCCATTGGGAGGTGAGAGAGGCATCACTTGCTGAGGAGCAGCAGGAACTTGGGCAGGGCCCTGTGATGAGAAACTGTCCTTTGTTTCTTGCTAAGCACGGAAGGATGTGGACCAGGGTGTGTCTCTTCTGAAGCTGTATGGAGAGGACCCTGGAGCAGCTGTAACCTCAGTGTTGGGCCTAGTTCTACACTCCTATAATGTTATCAGACTGTTATTGGTATCTAAGATGATGGAGCCCACACGCTCTTGCCTTGAGTCGCCTCTGGAGATCCAGGCTCAGTTATGCTCCTAGGGCCTCCTCTTTACCTTCCTTGCTTGCACCAAGGAACCAGAAAAATAGATAAGTGACGGGATAAATAAGGGAAGACAGAGATGGGCAGCCACAAGCCACACCCCAGCGTTTTGGTATGTCTCGCTCGGTTGCACTGGAGCTGCTTGGGTGGTACAGCTTCTCAATGAGCACAGCACATAAAACAGTGCGTACGTACAGTAGGTGTTCCATAGATGTTAGCTTGATTATTTAAAGCCTCTTCTGCCTTGACTTGTAGGGGTTCGCCTACCACCAGTGACGAACAGTTCTTGATACACTTGAGTCACCTTCTATAAACAAGATGGCCAAGGAGAGATTGACTTCATCTCCAAGCCCATGAGGGGTGAGGCCCCTTCTGGCCCAAAGATGGGGAACATCACTACAGACAACTCCTCGCTAACCTGCCCCATCGACCACACCATCCACCAGACACTGGCTCCAGTGGTCTATGTGACCGTGCTGGTGGTGGGCTTCCCGGCCAACTGCCTGTCCCTCTACTTCGGCTACCTGCAGATCAAGGCCCGAAATGAGCTGGGAGTGTACCTGTGTAACCTGACCATTGCAGACCTGTTCTACATCTGTTCGCTCCCCTTCTGGCTGCAGTACGTACTCCAGCACGACAACTGGTCCCATGGTGACCTATCCTGCCAGGTGTGCGGTATCCTCCTCTACGAGAACATCTACATCAGCGTGGGCTTCCTCTGCTGCATCTCCATTGACCGCTACCTGGCTGTGGCCCACCCCTTCCGCTTCCACCAGTTCCGAACCCTGAAGGCAGCCGTGGGCGTCAGTGTGCTCATCTGGGCCAAGGAGCTGCTGACCAGCATCTACTTCCTCAAGCACAAGGAGGTCGTCGAGGACGAGGACCGGCACCGAGTCTGCTTTGAGCACTACCCCATCCAGTCCTGGCAGCGGGGCATCAACTACTACCGCTTCCTGGTGGGCTTCCTCTTCCCCATCTGCCTGCTGCTGGCCTCCTACCAGGGCATCCTGCGGGCTGTGCGCCGCAGCCACGGCACACAGAAGAGCCGCAAGGACCAGATCCAGCGGCTGGTGCTGAGCACCGTGGTCATCTTCCTGGCTTGCTTCCTGCCTTACCACGTGCTGCTGCTGGTGCGCAGCCTCTGGGAGGCCAGCTGTGAGTTTGCCAAGAGCATCTTCAACGTCTATCACTTTTCCCTCCTCCTTACCAGCTTCAACTGTGTTGCTGACCCGGTGCTGTACTGTTTCGTCAGTGAGACCACTCACAGGGACCTAGCCCGCCTCCGAGGAGCCTGCCTGGCCTTCCTTACCTGCTCCAGGACAAGCAGGGCCAGGGAGGCCTACCCTCTGGGTGCCCCTGAGGCTTCTGGGAAAAGTGGGGCCCAGGGCGAGGAGCCTGAATTGTTAACCAAGCTCCACTCAGCCTTCCAGACCCCTAACTCACTGGGAGTGGGAGGATCGCCCACCGTCGGGTTGGCCTAGCTTGAGTCATCCGTATGTGAGGCTAGGTTAGGCCTGAGCTTTCACCAACAGGCCTTGTGGTCTGGAGCTTGTGTGGTGGCTGCCTCCCACATTACCATGTACGGGTGCCTCTTTCCTCAGGCAGGAACCGTGTGGTCTTGGGCCACAGCTAGGTCCCCCCTGGCCCCTGGAAGCCTGCTCTGTGTGCTGAGCCTGGGCCCTGCTGGGTGTGTGAATGAGCCCATATTCTCTGCTCTACCTGAGCTACATGTGGGAGAGAGGCAGAACTGTCTCTCCCAGGACGTTTGCAAAGAGCTGCAGGGCTGGGGCGTGGAGTGGGAGAGTAGGAGCCTGAGGGTTCAACTGCCAAGCCTCCCAGTGCAACTGTCACCTCACATGATGCCAGTCAAAATGTGCTGTGGTCTTGTGTGACGCAGGAAGTTGGTTAAGGTGAAGAATGGGGCTGGGGTGAGGTACTGGTGAGGATGGGCAGGAACAGCAGCAGAGTGACGACCCAGGATATGCCCCAGGACCAGACACATCTCACTTTTACAGGGCTGGCCGAACAAATTCCCAATCCCCAGGGCTGATGGCAAACAAACCCCAGGGCTCTCTGGGGAGACGCCGGGGGCCCTGCAAAATGTCATCCTGAAGCTCAAATAAGAGAACTTGGGCCTCAAGCTGTGTCCCTGACCAAGTTCCTGACTAGGGCTTTCCTTAATTAGCCTTTTGTTTCCATCTGACCAGAGTGCTAGCTAGACCTGAGAGCTTGAGGGAAGGGAGAGAAGGGGAATATAAATGGCAGGGTGTCCATGGCAACTGTGTGCCAAGACACTGAAACCAGAGTGATGTGACTACCGCCAGGGACTCCTAGCCTTCACCACACCCTGTAGACCAGCCAGCAGCCTTTGAGAGGAGCGTGGCAGTTTCCCAGAGTTCCTAGGTACAACCAAACTAACAAAACACACATCATCATGTCTCTTGACCACAGGTTTGGACTCAAGCTCCACTCTGGTATGAATAGTTCTTGTAGGAGAGTTGCCAGAGATGGCTGCATGCCAGAGAGACCCACACCTACCCCAGTAGGAACTTGCGGGGCAATGGTGATGGCTGAGTGTCGGCACCTCTTCATTCCACAGTATCCCTTCCTCCCCCTCCATTTTGACCTGAAATTCTGGATTCTCGCTGGCTTGGACTGGAACAAGCTGAGCCTGGCTCCCCTTATAACAGGGAGCTGTATTTTTGTATTGTCGTCTCTCTTATGCCAAGTATCCCTGTGTTGGACTATGAGGTGGATTCATATAGTGACTTCAGTCTGCAAATAAAACAAAGTAACCAATCACAGCAGAGTTTGTGCAGTCTTTATGGGCAGGGACTCCACCCACACCAGGGATATCCAAAATGTCCAAATGGTCAGAAAGATCCAGGGGTTGACCTTAGGGAAATCTTGGGGACTGCCCTTGAGCACCCATCAAGTGGTCAGTCCAGCCACCAAGTGCAGAAGGGTCTTCTCTTCTGCTTTGTGGCAAGAGTTATGTACCAGTGCCACACATTGTCAAAAGTCTGCCCTGGGTGCATCTGGGCAGGGTGTTGTTACAAACCCACCCAGATGCATCTGTGCAGGGTGCTGTTACAAACCAACCCACTGGGATGTATCTGTTCAGAGTGTTGTTACAAACCCACCTGGATGTATCTGTGTAGGGTGTTGTTATGATGAATCTGTGCAGGGTGCTGTTACAAACCCACCTGAATGTATCTGTGCAGGGTGTTGTTACAAACACACCCAGGGACTTTTGAGGTGAAAGCCTAGCCCTGTGGTTTGAGGAGTGCCACTCCCTCTGTCTTTGACCACTTGGGACTCTGTATGTTGCATAGCTGCCTCCACAGTGAGAGGGAAGCCCCATTAGACCAGAAGAAGGGCTTGGTGAATTCATCTCTCTGACATTTCCCCAGAATCATCTGGCTTTGTTTGGAGCCGCCTACCTTGTTTGTTGACAACCTCTATCTGCTGGGGCATCTTCCCAACAGTGACAAACTCAATGTTTATCACTGTGATTGCCAACATCCTATTGAAACATACATTTGAATATGACCACTTAATCCATGCGTGGGTCCTGGAGTTCTGGAGTGTTGTGGAATAATAGATCTTTCTTCCAAACAGACTAAGCAAGAACACTATTAAGGATTAATACTGCTTTCTCTCCTAAGAGAAGGGCTGGTAGGCAAAGGCCATCTGGTTTGGATTGAAGGTGATAGAAGCCATTAAAATTCCTTTCCTACTCACCACTGTGGCTTAGTAAGACAAGGGCTCATCTTCCTGTTTACACACACTGGCCTGTGGGTTGGCCCAGGAAGAGTGGGAGAAGGCTTCACTACAGAACACAACCCCATCTGCTGCTTGCTGTGGGCTCATGCATTCTTGAGAAAGCTGGAATCTGACCCAACTGCTTTATGCATCTGGGGACAGAAACTGGAATTCATCTGGTCTCTGTGTCCAGCACTCTGGGGGAAATGGTGGGATTTCGGTCCCATTCTCCTTCAGTTAGCAACACCAGACAAATACTGCTATATGAGACATTATCTTTGCTGGAACACAGCAGAGAGGTCACAATACCCAACATCCTCACTCACTTCCCAGTAACCCTTGCAGATTCCTCGGTTAACTCTCCACAGATACCAGCAGTGGTAGCTAACTCACTACTGTACAGACTCCAGGGGCATCTTAGATGCTACAGACCCCAGCACAGAATCACTTTATCTGCTGGCTCTAACTGTAGCCATAACTCCTAGGGTGCAGTTGGAAGATACTTCTCAGTGATGAACTTTTTAGTCAAAGCAAGATTGAACTGGAGCAATAAGTAACCCCCATCCAAGTCACAGTGCCATGAAAAAGGCCAAGAATATATCTCATGGCTAGTCCTGGGTTCAATCCCTGGCCCCAAATAGTAAAAATAAAAATAACAAACATAAATGACCAATAAAGCTTTATTTTATGTTCATAAAACATCCAATGAGAAGGGCATGAAGAGATGGCTTCATTGGGAGGGTGCCTACTGTGCAAGCATGGGGATTGAGTTTAGTCTCTAGAACCCACATTACCAAAAAAAAAAAAAAAAAAAAAAAAAAAAGCCAGACATGGTGGCACATGCCTTTTATCCCAGCATTTGGGAGGCAGAGGCAGGTAGATCTCTGTGAGTTCAAGGCCAACCTGGTCTACAGAGTGAATTCCAGGATAGTCAGGACTACGTGTTGAGATCCTAAAACAAAACCAAAAAAAAAAAAAAACCCTCAAAAAAACAAATCAAACAACAAAACCCAGTCAGGCTCTGACCCCAGGTCTGGGGCTTCCTAGCCAGACAGTCTAGCTGGATCGATGTGGTGGCTTGAAAGAAAACGGCCCCCAAAGGGAGTGGCACTATTAGGAGGAGTGGCCTTGTAGGAGTAGGTGTGGTCTTGTTGGAGGAAGTGTGTCACTGTGGATCTGGGCTTTGAGGTCTCGTTTATACTCAAGCCACACCCAGTGTTTCAGACCACTTCCTGTTGCCCGCACAAATTGTAGAACTTTCAGCTACGTGTCTGCGTGTCTACCATGTCTACGTGTACACCACCATGATGATAATGGATTGGACCTCTGAACTGTAAACCACCCAATTAAATGTTTCCCTTTCTAAGAGTTGCTGTGGTCATGTGTCTCTTCACAGCAACAGAAACCCTAACTGAGGCAATCAATGTGCTCCAGTCTAGATGAATCCGTGAGTTTCAGGCTCAGGGAAAAATCCCAGCTAACAAAACGAAGTAGGAAACTATTGGGGAAGGCATCCAGCGCCAACCTGGTCTCCACACTCACATGCATGTATACACGCCTACACACATACACACACACACTGTTTTCTTAAAGTTCAGTAGAAGGTTGCTTTCTGGCAAGCCTTTTCCCAAGTGCTGACAGATTCAAACCTTTCCACAAACCGATTTCGTTACCATAAAGATCAGCAGAGACACGCCAGTGTCTCTTCCCTGAAGATGGGCAGTTCATGAAGCTGGGACCTCTCCCAGAAAGATGTGCCCATCTTAACCCATGCTAAAGGAATAAGAGGAATAATACTCCCTTTAGAGAGATACTGTATTTTTTTTTCCTTCCTGGAATTCCTCTCTCCTAAGAGCAGCTCCGAGGTCCAGCAGACTCTGCCCACCCACTGAGTCCTAAGTCAGAGACACAACTTTCCCTTTTCCCGTCTCTATTTCAGATGCTGACTGGAACCTACCCATTCTCTTTCTGTTACTTTAGGCTCCCTTACTCTCTCCCTAAACCCCTCACTTTCCCTGCCTCCACCTAGTGTCTGCCTGACACCCTGTGGATGACCTCCATGCCAACTTGACTCAAATGTCAATGGCTTCTTTCCCCCTCCTCTTTTCCATCCCCCACACCCCTCGGGCATCTGCTGAGATTTACACCTTCCCTGCCATGGAGTTTTCCTTTTTTAAGCTCCAGTAAAGTCATCTTCGAGCTTCCATTTGAGCCTGTTCTTAAATTCTTTTATCAACAAATCTAAGAGCCCCAAAGAAGGGACTTCAATTTGCCTGACATCATCTGACAACCATGAAGGGACGCCCCAGAACTTTTCAGTAGCAGTTTCATAAATGTGGGCTTTCCTCTGCCCATCTACACAGGTAAGAGAAGAAATGTAAAGAGAACCCCACATGCAGTTATGGCCAAGTATGGACATGTTTGATAGTCTGTTACTCATATTTCATTAGCCTGATCCTGGTCACATGGGCCCCAGCTGCATGGGAGGCTGGGAAATGTAGTTTTTCTAAGTGACAAGCAGAGGAGAGATGAAATTGGTGAGTATCTGGCCACTCTGACAGACAGTTCAAGTCAAGTCTGCTTAGGTGTTAAGCTCGCATTTGAACAGTGTCTACTCCAAATGTGCTATCTGGATCAAAACCTACATGACATCATCTACCTTGCCCCATGGACCACATTTCTCTGCTTCTATGCTTCTGGCAAGCACATCACATCACTGATGTAGAGAATGCACAATTTGGAACTAAGCCATGCATTCTACATCCTGTCTCCAAGTGCATAGAGAGGCCAGTGGAGCCGTGTGTAACAGGCAGGAAGTAGTAGATGCGCAGATGCAATAGGCTGGACCAGCTTGGGGCTGGCATGCAATGGGAGGCAATAAATGACCTCAGAGGAATGCCTTTCCCAGCTAAGCAATAGGGTGTCAGTTGTATGGAGGACATCCAGGGACTAAAGAGTCGGCTCACTTGGATAGAGCATGCTACCTCAGTGAGCTAGCCTCATCAGCTTGCTTGAGAGTGTGTCTTCTGTCCTATTTCCTAGGATCCTTCTCCACAGCATCCCCAAAAGCCCACAGGTCAGGCCTGCATCTCACCCTGGGTGACACCATGGTCCCCTGCAGGCCATCTCTTGTTCTCCTGTCACTGGCTTTTACAGGCTGTAGCTATCACATGAACGCAGACCTTTCCTCTAAGTACACACATGACCAGGACAAGTCTGAGTGGGAATCACAATATGGAACAGAAAAGCTTTAAAACCAGGGCCTGGATCACCAACAGCCCTTGAGATGGACACTGTGAAGCTGGCCCCCTCCCTCCTTTGTACCTCAGCCCCGGCGGTAAGCACATCTCCCGGTAGAGGATGGCACTTGGGTGCCCCGCTCAGGGTCTACAAGCCCACTCTGCCCTCTCTGGACTTAATGGGTCTTAGCTTTTTTCTTAAACAGCTCAGTCACCTCCCCCATACATTTCTTCCCACAGCAAGCATATGTTATAACATGTCTACCCCTCAGCTTGCTCAGTGCTGGGGTAGAATTCTGCTGTTAATATTGCAACAGCCAAACCCATGGATATCTTCCCCAAAACATGAATCACAAGATAGTGATGACAGTCTCTCTTGTCGTCACCACAGTCATCTATTTTTGTTTTTAATTGTCAGGATGTCCTCTTGATCCTCATTGTGTGGAATTTGTAATGAACAAAAATTGTAACTGGAAGAGACCTGGGTAGTGAGGCTTCTGAGCTGTGTTGGCTGAGCTGTGAGGGCTCAGGTGGAGGAAAGGCCCCCATCTTGAGTGTCTCCCACAAACACAACCATAGACCCTGCAGATGGAACCCTGCAGGCATGAATCCTGGCCAGAATAACTAATGGAGAGCAGACACCAAAGTTCATACTGAAATTACTTTTCTCTTTACATGTAGGCTTTATTGGAGTGTAAAATCTGCACCATGGGTTCCTTCTTTGCAATGAATGAATGTCCCTTAAAGAACCATACCCGACACAAGATGTCACCCTGATGTCAGGACTAAGTGTATAACGGGTATGGCCAGTGGCTCAGTTTCTGAGTTTGCGGAGAAATGTGAAGTTGGAGGTGGTGCAAGACCAGGATGAGGTCATCTGCCTGAGCCCTGGGCAGGTCTAGCTCACCCCTGGGCTCTATAGGCAAATATGGCTTCCTTCTCACACAAAGAGGGCAAAGAATCTGGCTATGGGTAGGAGTAAGCAGATGGGACAGGTGTGTAAGAAACATCGGGGTGAATAGAGGTGAGGGACTATGGGTATGACGCCTGGAGGGACCTTGTGGGAGACCCTTTCAAACAATAAATGGAATACTATTAGAAAAAGAACACATTTCAAAGGCATAAGTGTTCTGTTGGTTTCAGTGAGTACAAACCCCCAGGGCTTTAGCCCAACATTCCATGTGTGGGCACTCTAGCCTTTATTTGGCACAGGTCGTGACAATGCCTATTCTTACGCTCTGCCTTACAGTTAACTGTTCATACATCATTTCTTAAGTAGCAGGCAGAAAGATTCTCATAACAGTGTTGTAGAATTATTATTTTAAGGGGTGTTACTTTTGCTTATGCTCTGGAACATTTGTTTAATGATGCAAAGATGTGTTTGATTAAATAAAGTTCACCTGTGGTCAGGAGGCTGCCGTCAGCAAGTAGCTGACAAGAAGTTGTAGGGAGGAGCCAGGCGGAGGCGGCTTATAAGGAGGGCGAGAAAAAGCAGGAGAGCTTCTTGGGAGATGTGAGGAGGTGAGCTAGAATCCTGAGTTCTTTAGCGGGACAGAGATTTAGTAAGTTTCCTTAGTAGTTTTGAAAGAGTCATGCCAGAGAGAACAGAATTCCCTCAGGCTTCAGCTCCTGCAGCCTTCCAGCCTAGCCACCTCGCCATTGCCGTAGCTGAGGAGCTGCAGTTGCTGAGTAGGATAGCTGTAGCTTAAAAGCCAGCAACAGCTAAAAAGAAAAAAGAAAAAAGAAAAGAAAGAAAGAAAAACAACAGAGCAGACCACAAGGGCGGCCTGAAGAAGCCAGGATGAAGGGTAGTTAGAGCAATCAATGCCTCTGGACCTCTTGCCTGGACACAGGCTGGTCATTGGGTAGGGACTTTGCACACAACACACTTGTCACATGTGCCCTGTGGTGGCATCCACCAGCTTCTGGACTATCTCGTCATGAACACCATAGAAAGGCAGCCCATCTACTTCCATGCCAACCTTGCCGGAGACTCCGCTGCGGACTTGGTTCTGCACCAGGATGGCCAGCATTCTTTCTTCCTGGGAAGGAACAGAGGAGGTGAAGAGGTAAAACCACGTTGGGGGAGGAATACATAAATCTCTAAGTGGGCTTGACATCTCACCATCTCTCTGTGACGTTCTCACTCTGTTCCTTTCTGTCTCTCTATATTTCTTTCTCTTTCCATCTTTCTCCTTCTTCCCTTAATTCCTCCTCCTCCCCCTCTTTAAAACAGGGTGTCTGTAGCCCTGGCTAGCCTGGAACTCACTACACAGACCAGGCTGGCCTCGAACTCATAGAGATCCACCTGCCTCTGCCTTTCAAGTGCTGGGTTTAAAGGCGCATGGCACCACACCTAGGAATGTGCCTCTTTTTAAGATAATAAAATTTGGGGTAAAGGATTAACTCACTGGAAAGCTCCTTATGAAACCCAAATTGAGAGCTTCATGTGGTGGCTCATAGCTGTCATCCTAATGCTTGTAGGGCTGAGGCAGGAGGATTACAATGAGTTTGAAGCCAGCCTGGATTAAATACTGAACTCTAGCCCAGCCTGGTCTACAGAGTGAGACTTTGTCTCAAACAAAAGCCAAGGATTTAAACAGATCAACTGTTTTTGGGGGGCACTTACCATCATGTGACCGAATTTCAGGCCTTGGAGGCCTGCGTGGTCCTAACACTTACAGAGATGCAACCCTCCCACCAACCCAGTCCCCAGAAATGCCATGGACGAGCTCCCTCGGGCCTGACTGTGGAAGAAGGCTCTCCTGAGACCCCACTGTTAGCCTCCTGTGGGGCAGGCGTGAGTCCTAGTCTGCTTCCTATGGCTGTGATAAACACCAGGACTAGAAGGTGGAGGAAAAGGATTATTTCAGTTTACAGCTCTCAGGTCACAATCCCTCACTGAGAAGTCTCTGGACAGGAGCTCAAGGCAGGAACTGCATCAGAGGCCATGGAGGGTGCTGCTTACTGGCTTGCTCTCTATGGCTTGCTCAGCCTGCCTTCTTATATAATCCAGGACCACCTACTCAGGGTTGGGACCACCACAGTGGCCAGGCCTTCCCACATCATCATTAGTAAGGAAAATGCCCCCCATAGCTTTTCCTACAAGCCACTCTTAGGGAGGTATTTTCTCATTTGAGGTTTCCTCTTTCCAGTTGACCCTTGCTCGTGTCACACTGACCACCCTGGGGGTTGGGGGGAGGAGGGGAATCTAACAAGCACAACACTACACTATGCTGCTGCCGCCTCCATTTTCCATCCGGGACACGGGAACATTTGGCGGGAGCAGAGCCATAGAGAAAATGCAGCTGGGTCCCAAAAGGGCTTTGGGATTAGACACATCAGATGCGGGGCTTTCTTGGCAGTGTCTTAACCTGTGTCTCGGAAATCTCATCTGCCAGATGGGGTCACAGATGGCAGCATGGCCTTCAGAAGCTATTGTGAGGATTAAACGAGATACTGGAAGTAACGCACCCACCATGGCCCTTGGCACACTTTAGGAATGAGGCCGGTTGTCAACTGCATAGGGAAAACCCAGAGCTTGTTTTCCTTAACTCAGTTGTTGGTTAAAGGATTGGGACTGGCCTACCTCCTTTCCTCTCTCTCCAAAAATAAGGTCCCAAAGAACCACCTGTCCAAGACACTAACATGACTGTCCCTGTTGAACAGTTAGGTGAAGGCAAAGGGCAGGAGGGGCCGAATCAAACACCCTCTCCTTCCTCCACCGAGAACGAACCAAAGGGCTGCCGCCTTCCTGGTGGGGCATTTGCTCTCTCTCCATCAGTTCTCTGGAGCGCCCACTGTGACAGTCTCTGATCCAGTGGCTCAAGGGTGAGTTGACAGGTGCAAGCCCCCCCACCCCAAGGTTGTCCCAAGCTAGGTCACTGACCAGGGACTCACAGTATGTACTGTGGTAGAGTATTACTTTAAGATGTGTTGCATTTGTTTGTGCCGTGGAACATGTGTTTAGTGATGCAAAGATGTGTTGCGTTCTTTTGTTGCATTTGTTTAACTCTGTGAAGCTGTGTTACTCTGCCTGCCTAAAACACCTGACTGGTCTAATAAAGAGCTGAACGGTCAATAGCGAGGCGGGAGCAAGGACAGGCAGGGCTGGCAGGCAGAGAGAATAAACAGGGAAATCTGGGAGGAGAAGATGGAGGAGTGAGAGCAGAAGGGGCAGCCACCCAGCCAGACATGGGATAAGAAGGAAAGCACGATATACAGAAATGGAGAAAAGGTAAAGGCCCAGAGGCAAAAGGTAGGAGGGATCATTTAAACTAAGAAAAGCTGGCTAGAAACAAGCCAAGCTAAGAAAGAATAAGCTCCCATGTGCATTTTTGGGAGCTGGGTTTCTGCTCTCCCAAAAGAGTCAAAGAGTAAAAAACAGCAATAAAGATAGTCACAGCACAAAGCGGAAACCAAACTCAGTTCCCTGGGGTGCCCCTGGGAATGCTTTCTGGGGTTGTGGTTATAGACTGAAGCTTTGTAACCCTGCAAACTCATGCTCTCAATATCATGGCATTTGGTTAGCCTCTTGCCTCTGCATATATGTGAGTACACATGAAAGTGTATCACAGACATGTACACGCATGAATATGTACACACACACACACGCACGCACGCACGCACGCACGCACGCACTGGGGGAAGTGTTAGCAAATGTTGGCCTAGAAACTAGCTCTTTGCAGCAGCCTTTCTGTTCTGCCCATGTGTGAAGGCAGATGATCCCACGTGAAAGGGAGGTCCAAGTGCATTTCCACACAAGCCTTTGTCAAGAGTCCCTGGCCAGGGGCTTCCCAGTCCAGACAGGCATTTCCCACCCTTTGTCTGGGCTCCATTCCCCCACTTTCTTCCCCATTACTGTATCCTCTCTTTCTGGGGCCATACTTGTGGCACCATGGGGACATTTCCTCCCAGCACACTGCCTGCCCTCACTGTGGAGTCCTCAGGGTGAGCGTGAGGAGTCAACAGAAACTGGCTGTCACTCAGACTCTAAGAGCCACAGGGACCAATTGCCTGGTCCCTAAGCTGGGCCAATTGCCACTCCCACAGATTTCCAAGAAGGACTGCAGCATCTTCTAAGAGGCCAAGTGGAGGGGGCAGCTCCTCCCTGCTGGAGCACAGCGGGAAGCTGCTGTGGTACCCAGGCGAGAGTGGGAAGGAGGACTAAAGTGGGGGTCAGGCCTCCAGGATGGAGTCGAGGTGGATGGGGATAGAGGCCCTGGGTAATTTCTGGGCTTAGAGGCAGGTGGTGGCCTGCTAATAATCCTGGAGCATGGTGGGCTGATTATTTACAGGAAAGATGTTATTGTTAAGCAAGTTGGAAAAAACATTTTGAATGAGTTGGGAAGTTGGGCAGACCTGTAGTTCTAAGTACTCAGGAGGTTGAGCAAAGGATTGCTTGAGCCAGATTTCAGATCAAACAGAGAGGGGCAGAAGGGGGTAGGGAGGCAGAGGCGGACAGAGGGACAGAGAGAGACAGAGGGAGGCTCTGATCTGGGCGCCCATGTTACTCGGCGGTGTTCCTTAAGCTTCTTCCCTGGGGACCATGTCTGACTCCTCATTGTTTCCCAGAACAAGCCTGGGCCTGGCCCCCAGGAGGGGCTCAGCAAATGCCCTTCTGCATTTGCTTTAAAAACTTGCCTTTCCATTTCCTTCTTAAGAACGAGGCATTGTTAATACACTTCTGGAAGACCGGGCATCCATGCCAAGTGGAGAATTTTCCATCCCTGGAGGGTGAGTGTGAGCCTGTGGGGGTTGGCTGGGCGGGTTCATACTTTGTGCTTTTGTGAATCAGTAGTCATGTGGGCGGCAGCCCCCATGTTTTCCAGCTCAGAACCAGGAAGCATAAAGAACAGAAGGCCCTCTGGGTCCCTCAGGGAAGACAAGACCATTTCCCCCATGAAAATGTCACTTGACCTACCCTCTCCTCCATGCCCCAGCATTCGCAGGGGCTGAGAAACTTCTGGGCCACCTAAGGAAAGCCCACAGTCAGGATCAGAGGGACCCGAACTCACACTTCAGCTCTTGGTGCTACCCACCACCACCCAGAGCCCGCCAGCTCCCGCCTCCTCTGAGGAGGTAATAACAACCCAGAGAAACACTGAATTCAACAGGGGGAGGCCGGGGGGGGGGGAGAAAGAGACAGAGAGCCAAAGCACAGAAATGCACAAGGCAACATGGCAAAAAGAAGAGGCTATAAAAAAGGGGCCTCTAGATGTGGAGGTTTGTCAGATGTGGAGGCTTGACTGGCTGGGAGACATAGCAGTTGTCTGTTCTTTCTTAAATGGACACACATCCCTAGAAACGAGCCAATGACCGGTAGTTCTCTAGATCTGGACACCTTGGGAAGGGACCTGGAATTCTATTCATCTGGCCTGCCTCAGGCCTCCCCAATCTGGAGCCAGGAAGATTTAGCACTGTGAGATTAACAAGCAACCTCCAGTTTGCACTTCCTGCTCCAGCCACCATACCTGTACTGGCTGCCACACTCTCCCACTGTGATGGCCTCTTGGCCCTCTGGAACTGTAAATCAAAGAAAATCCCCTCTAAATTGCCCAGGTCGTGGTGTTTAATCCCAGCAACAGAAAGTAACTAGTACTAGCCAGGGCTCTGGTCCGTGGGTGTCAGATTTCCCATGGGGTTACCAAGCAAGAAGCTGATAGATACTTCATCTGTGACCTGTAGGTTTGGTCCACCAGCTGCTCCTCGGGGGAGGGCAGGTCCCATCCCTTCTAGAAGCACCCACAGTGGAGAGATTTGGGTTTAGAATTAGTGTTGGTAAGCAGGATGACTCCAGGGTAGTTACAGGGACTGAGGCCCAAGGGAGGAACAGCCCACCCAGCACTGAGTTCAGAGCTGGCTGTTTCCTATGCTCATCATCCCCAAGTTCACTTAAGTTAGACATTAAGGGTTGCTGCCCTATCTTTGTTCTGGCCTACAAGATGTGTCTAGAACGGCATGAAGTGTTCAGTGACCACACGGGGTTTCATTTACCGACCCTGAGGTGCTTAGGCAAGCCTACAGCAGGCTTGGAGTTCCTTGCTCAGAGGACAATTGTACAGGGACAATTTTGAAAGCTGCTCTGGGGTCTCTCCCATCACACCTGAGCTTACAATCCTCTGTCTAGGAGCATTCTTACACAGCCAGAGACACCTTTGTTCATGCCTTTCCCATATAAGTGCCCCCTCCCAATCTGGTGACGTCTCTCCAGTCTATACCCACAGGCCTCTTTGCCCACCTGACCTGCCCCCACACTTTACCGTGAATGCTTCACGTGTCCTCACTAAGTTGTCAGTTCTGTGAAGAGAACAGTAAGGACTAACCCCCCACCACCACCACAACCCGGGTAACTGCCTCCAAAGGTCGGGCATTCCCTTCATCTAGCAGCGCTGACTGTACCCACTTTACAGAGGTTCATCTCTGAGGGGGAAAGCAACTTGCCAACAGCCAAGCAGACAGGACAGGATCTCTCCAAATGTGTCTTACATAGGACCCAGGACCAGAAGTAGATCAAAGGATTGTCTGGTTTTGTCTCCCAGCCTGACCCAGCAGGGAGACAGTCCCTCAAAGGTAGCTCTGGCTCTGGCTTTGTGGGTGGCGTGGTGGCTGAGGTGGTCATATGGTTTGGAACACTCAGGTATACTTAATTCTCATCAAACAAAGTTGTGTCTGGACCAGTGGGCTGCTGCAATGTGTTACCTTAGCAACAGATGGCAGGGCCTGAGTCCAGCTCTGCTCCCCAGCTACCCTGGAAGGCCCGATTGCCCTCCTGAGGTAACGCTTGTGGATGTCACATGTGTTCAGAATGTATAGTGCACAGGCCAGGGCATAGCCTCCCCAGTTAGAAACACCTAGAATGCAAAAGGAAAAAAAAATCCATCATAGAACTGTAAAGACCCTGTGGTCCTCTGGCTGCCTCCAAGCAACAGAAACCATCTCAGGGCTGGCACAGACAGCAGGCACTGGAATCACCTGGGGACTTGTCAGAATTTCTGCGAGGTTGTTGGGGAGCAGGTGAGTTTAACAGGCCCCATAGGTAAGCTTTGAGTCAAGCTAAAGTTTGAGGGTTGTTGCTTGAAGCTATTCAGGTTACATACGACTGTCAGAGGAAAACCATCCCAGAATTCCCCACATTAAAGATCACTCCCAAAGGCTGATCACAACCCCTTAGGCTACAAGAAGCCTCTTCCCTGGGGCATATAGTGGACAGCCCATTCATCATGTGAGGTCTGTCAACCCTTTAGTGTTGACAACCATTTCTAAGTCCTCTCCAGATCTCCTATTCTGTCAGCCAGGCCCCAGGGCTCATTTCCTGGGCTAGAGATGGTTTCATCTACTCTTCTCTGACACCTGTTTGAGTTCTCCATCCTGTCAACACTGATGGAGGTCTGTTATGACTCCAGATGCTGCGCTGGCATTAAGGAAGAGGGGGGTGGTAGGAAAGCTCAGTGGATGAAAACTAGCTGCTGAATGACCTGAATTCAGTCCCTGTATGGTAGAAGAGAATTGACTCCTGCAAGTTATCCTGTGACACACACACACACACACCATACACACTCACACACACACTCACACACATAAACACACACATAAACACACTCACACACATACACACATAAGCACACACTCATAAACACACACTCACAACACTCACACACACTCACACATACTCACACATACAACACACACACATACTCACAAACTCACACTCACACATAAATACACATAAACACACAAACACACGCGTGCACACACACGTACATGCACACACACCATACATACTCACACACACGCACACACACCATACACACTCATACACACTCACACACACTCACACAATAAACACACTCACACACATAAACACACACAAACACACACACTCACACAAACAAACACATAAACACACACACACACATACTCACACACATAAACACACGCACACACACACACTCACACACATACACACATAAACACACACTCATAAACTTACTCATAAACACACACACTCACAAACACCTACACAAACTCACTCACACATACTCACACACAGAACATACTCACACACATAAACACACACACATAAACACACATAAACACACTCACACACATACACACATAAACACACACTCATAAACACATTCATACACACTCACAAACACTCACACACTCACACACTCACCCACACATACAACACACACACATACTCACAAACTCACACTCACATACACATAAATACACATAAACACACACACTCACACATAAACACACAAACACGCACGCGCATGCACACGCACACACACCATACATACTCACACACACACTCACACACGCACTCACTCATACACACAAACACATAAACACACACACAACACACACACAAACACACGCATAAACACACGCACAAACATACACACTCACACGCACATAAACACATGCACAAACACACACACACACAAACACGCACTCACACACACATACACACATAAACACACACACTCATAAACTCACTCATAAACACACACACTCACAAACACTTACACTCACTCAGACATACTCACACAACACACTCACACACATACTCACACACTCACACTCACACACACTCACACACATAAATACACACACATAAACACACACTCATAAACTCACTCATAAACACATACTCATACACTCACAAACACTCACACATACTCACTCACACATACTCTTACACACACAACACACTCACACACATACTCTCACACTCACACACATAAATACACACACATAAACACACACGTTCACACATAAACACACACACATAAACACACACACACAGAGTTCTTTTAAAGGAAGAGGATCATCATATTGGAGAGAGAGGTGTGAATTCAGGGGAAGACCATCAATCAAGGAGATGCCCCCAAAGGAGTATAGGAACAAAGAAGAGAAACCAGTAATTCCGATTGGTTCAGGAAAGATGCACAGAAAAGAGTCATTTGATGTGGATATTATGGTCTGGGTAGAATTCAGCTGGAGAAAGTGGAGCTATGGGCTGGGAGAAGCTAGGTAAACAAACAGAACCCCCAGTGAGCTCAAAGGGACACAGTCAAACATGGCCTACGAAGACTAGACAATTACTATGAAACTGTATGTCAATGATTCTAAGATACCTTTTTTGTTACATCCTAATCTCTGAAATTGGCAAGTGTCTATGGTCATAGCTGACAATTTTGTCATTGGCTGGTTCATTAGTGCTATACAAAATAGTGGTGACAAGTCATCAATGGTACACTCAAGGAAAAAGAATATCTTGCTTGGGTTGAATGTTTGCATCCGCGGTCCTGTTGTAAATGTCTTGTGTGACTCAGCTTCTGGAGTCCTTAAAACAAGTCTATGAGGCTTAGTATCATTATCGCCATGTGAGCGACTTAGACACACACACAGCGAGCAGGAAATGTCACAGCGAATAAGTAGATAAGCTATAACTCAAGCCATTCCCTCCAGAGCCTATATTCCTTTTCTTTTAGAAAGTAACTTTTTAAAATTGTGTTAAAATCTACATGACATGAACAGGGGGGAAGCAAACGGTTCCTTCACTGTTCTTATACCAGCAGTAGAGAGGGTATTGTGACCACAGAGGGCCTGGGTTTCTTTCTCTGTTTTGTAGTAGCAGATACCTAACCCAAGTGTGCTCCAATCCAATCCAGTCTGATGCTCTGGATCCTGACTGTCAGGCCCTATGGACTGTTTTGAGGTCTCCTAGACTGCATCTTCTTTGTTTGATGCCGGTGGCTAGCCCCAGGCAGCTCACCTTAGCCTCTGACTGATTGGCTATATACCAGGTTTCCTGAAAAGCTCTGTTAGATAGAATTAATTTGCTTCAATAGCCACAGGGGAAATCACACTGTTTTATTACAGAGGATGTTATGAAAGATCCGGATGAAGATCTATATGAGCAAGACACCCAGGAAGGGGCTTGGAACTCACTTTGGATACTCTGCTTGCCAGGAACAGCATGTCTACCTGGGAGGTCTCTGAACTCTGTCCTTTTTGACTTTGGCGAATGCCTTTGTTAACAGACAGGGTAGGAACCCAGCAAGGCCTGCTTCCCTGGGTTCTTCTTGGCCTCTCTGTACAACCTCCTTCATCCTGGGTAAGGAGCAGGATTCCTCTGGACTGAAGCTGGTCTTAAGACTTATCAGGCAAGGGCAGTTTGGAGAATTTCTTTGTAGCTGGCTAAAAATGGGAGTTGATTCTCATTTCAGGGAAGGGAAATTCTAGTTTCTATGGTCTGCCTTATGGAGGAAGTTATATGAACCTAGACCCATGGATGAAAACAAGCAAATTACTTGCCCATCCATTTGTCTGTCTGTCTGTCTGTCTGTCTATCTGCCCATCCATCCATCATCTACCACCTACCTACCTACCTATCATTTGTCTATCCAAAACTATCACACTAGAATTCACCACCTTAGCTATCTTTAAGAGTATAGTCAGTAGTATTAAATATATCTCTATCTTTTTCACCTATTACGTCTATCTAAAACATCATACCAGAAATTGCCATCTTAACCATATTTAAGTGTATACTTTAGTAATGTTAGGTATCTATCCATCTATTTAAAATATCAGAATTGGGCCAGGCATGGTGGCAGATGCCTTTAATCCCAGCACTTGGGAGGTGGAGGCAGGCTGATTTCTATGAGTTTGAGGACAGCCTGGTCTATGTGGTGTGTTTCAGTCAGTCAAGGCTACATAGTAAGACATTCTGAAAAAAGACAAAAGATATATAAGAATTGTGTTCACCAATGTGACCATCTTTAAAGGTACAGCTATCTAGCATTAAGTATCTCTTGATCTATTCATCCAAAATGTCTTGTGAGAATACAGTTGAGCAGCATTAAGTATATTCTCCTGGTATAATTCTAGAGCTCACCCTCGGCCTCTGTGCAAATGTAAAAAATGAAACATATTTGGGAAGCTGTAACAAAGGAAAAGGCAGAATTGAAAATCTTTGTTCACCGGCTTAAATGACGTAGAATGGTCATGAACAGAGGATGCCTCTGACCTGCAAGCTGAAACTGCTGACTGTGCTATGGTGAGATGACACAGCACATTTTTGCCTGTGTCTATCACCCGACACTACCTGCTTTTTAAGAATGCCTTTGGTCTTACTATGATGTCATATTTTCAATTAAGAAAATGTAAAACCCATGCTATATTTAAGCAGTGACCATGGCCATCATACCTGGATCATGGGGTACATGGTGGGGGGGGTGGGAGAGACCAGAGGGGACCATGAAAGGCAGCTAACTCAAGTTCACGTGCTGAAGGCCCCGTGTGAGATGAACATATTGTTAACTTTGATCTCCTGCTCCCTGGCAACCACTGATCTTTCACTGTATACATAATTTTACATTTTCCCGAACATCATATGGCTGGGTGCAGATCACATAGCCTTTCAAACTGGCTTGCTCCTTTAGTAATCTGCTTTTAAGGTTCCTTGTGTCCTTTGTGGTTTGCAGGTGGAGATCAGAGGATGTGTAGCACATACATAAATGAATGGAGGGAAAAGGGACAATTAGCATTCACCCCCTCCTACCTCCTGACTGCAGATAAAGTGTGGCCCATGGCCTCATGCTCCTGCCGGGCCTTCTGCACCATGATGGCCATTATCTCCTCACGCTGTGAGCCAAAATGAACCCTCCCCCACTTAAATTCCTTTTGTTAGGTATTGTGTCATAGCAGTGAAAAAAAAAGCAACTAATACGGTATCCATGAAATAACTTCCAGGAATGTTCACTTATTTTGAGTTCTATTTTTGATCAAGTTGGTAGAACTAACATCCTGACACTGTTGAGTCTTCGAATCCATGAATATGGAATATCTCTGTGACTAATTTAGTTACTTGCTACTCTCCATCAAAGTTTTATACTTTTCCTTGTGTAAATAGTAGTTACATGTCGCTAGCTTTATATTTAAGTAGTGCACTTTGGGAAGTGCTAAAATAAATGGCAACATGTGTTCATTTTCAAATTCCTCTTGCAAACTGTTGTCCTATTGGAAAGTGGTGTTGCATCCTGAAAGACTGCTGTAATTTATTCCTTCCAGGAGTTTTTGTTTATTCTTGTCGATTTTCCATATGGATGGACATGTCATCTACAAAGATAATTAGTTTCTTTCTTCTCAATCCACATGCTTTTTAGTTCTTCTTCTCTTTGTCTTATTGCACTAAGATTTCTAGGAGGATGCTGAAAATCTGGTGACAAAGGGCAGCCTTGCCATAGCACTCCCAGCTGGATTAAAAATATTTTTTCTGTATTTATTGCCTTATCATGTAATTCTTTAGTTTGTTAATATCTAAGATTATATGAATGAATTTTTGATTGTTGGATCATCCTTTTTATTTGAAATAAATCCTAGTTTGTTAGTGATATGTCTCTTTCATATATCGTTGGGGTCTGTTGTTAATATTTTGCTGAGTGCTTTTTGACATTTTAAAAAATTACATTTATTTGTGTATGTGTGCATGCATGGAGTATATATTTGTTTACTAGTGTATGTGTTCACATATGGATACCCGGGATCACACTCAGGCCATCAGACTTAGTGTCAAATGCTATAACTCATCAAGCTACCTCCACCAGCCCTGTTCTTATAGTCATGGTCATGAAAAATATTGGACTATAGTTTCCTTCCTTAAGGTAGAAGCTAAGATAAGTGAAGTCCGTTATGTCTTATTTTTTAATGTATGCATTCTTCGGTGGTTTGAATGAGATGTCCGCCATGGTCATGAGCACGTGACTACTTGGTCTCAGTTGGTGCGGTTTGAGGGAAGTATAGGAGGTGTGACCTTGTTGGAGGAAGCACATCACTGGGGGTGGGCTTCGAGAGTGAAGAGCCTAGCCTACTTAGAGTTTGCCCTCTCTGCTCTGTGCTTGTGGTTCGAGATGTGAGCTCTGGGTTTTCTGTTCCTGCTGCCAAGCTGCTTGCTGTCACTCTCCCTGTCAAACGAACTCGAACCCTCTGGAACCCTAAGCCAAAATAAACAGTTTCTTCTCTACACATTGCTTTGGTCACGGTGTTTTATCACAGCAATAGCAAAGTAACTAATACAGAAGCCAACTAAATCTGGTTGATTGACAGCATTGTTGGGTTAGCTGTGTCCTTGCAGATTTATGCCAGCCATATCTGTCCACTTTTGATTCAGGGATGGTAAAATAGCTAGAGGCGTTGAATCATCACCTGTTTTTTCCTCTGAAGTTCTTTTCCTCCCTGGTGTGTGTATATATAGTCACTCTGGTATTAGATACACAAAGGATTGTTATCTCTTCCTTGTGTATTATGAATGTGTTTTTTTATTCCTGGTCACTTCCTTTGTTCTGAAGTCTGCTTTCTGTTGGCTAGTGTGACATTTAGTTTCTTTTTCTCTTTCCTTTTACTCCATAGAACTAGAGCTGGGCAGCTCCTTTCCCTCCCTGTAAAGTGGCAGTGGGCTGAGCCCAGGTATTCCCCTCCTCCCAGGCAAGTATGGCTTTGCTCACGCTACAGCAGGCTGTGCTTTCTTTTAAGGCCAGGTCTTATTTAGAACAGAGAAAGATGTGGCATATTTTTGGAGAGTTCCTTTTTCCTAGGTCTATCACAAGCAGAAGAGATTTTCCCCTGATATTCACTATGGAGAATCCCCAAAATCAAGGTGATTCCCCCAGGGGTGCCCAGAAGTAAGTCCCCCATGATCCCTTGGCATTGTTTCATTTGTTTAGGGTTTTGGGGGTTTTTTTTTTTTGTTTTGTTTTTTTGTTTTTGTTTTTTTTTTGTTTTGTTTTGTTTTGTTTTGTTTTTGAGACAAGGTCTTCCTATGTAGCCTTGACTGGCTTAGAACCCTGGAACTCAATGTATAGACTGGTTTCAAATGCAGAGACCTGACTACCTCTGCCCAAGTGCTGGGATTAGAGGCGCACACCGGGCTCCCTGGGGTTGAACTCAGGTTTGTCTGGTGAGCCTCCAGCAACTCACCAGCAGGTTTCCTATCCTGGAGAGTGTTCGCTCCTTTCTAGGCCGATTCTGACCATAAATGGGGAGAGAGCCTTTTTTCAGGTGTTAATGTTTTCAGAAACTTCTGGGGAGGCTAAGGGAAAGCCAGTTTTTGAAGCACCGGGACATACAAGAAAGGCGAGTCCTGAGGTCCCACGAGGAAGGCAGAAACAGGAAGGACAGGAAGCCTGAGGCGGAAGTTGGTAAAAGGAGCTGTGAGAAACCCTTCTCCGTCACTGTCATAGGCTCTCACTGACCACTGGTAAAAACGGCCCTCCTGTCAGTCACTCTCTCTGTCTGTCACCTGCCCTCACACCTTCATCATTGTATCACCTGGTGCTGTCGCTCAACTCTGGACAGGAAGGCCTTCACCACACATCCTCTCTGTTGTTGCCCAGAACCCAGAACAATGCCCGGCACACTGGAAATGCTAACTGAATGGCTGAATTCCCACTCAAGGTCCTGCCCTTCCCCGGTGCCCCTTGGAGAGAAGGAAAAAAGCTTCTGCCCTGGTGTGATGGTTATCTTGATTGTCGATTTGAGTGGATTGACAGGTGCCTGGGAGAGTAGTAAAGCATAGGGGGTGTCTACAAGGGCGTTTCCAGAAAAGATTGACATGTTAGACAGCAAGTGAGTGAGGAAGACCCTACCTGAGTGTGAGCAGAATGGTCCAACAGGGACACAAACCCAGGTAGGACAAAAGCATAAGTAGCTTGCCAGGCAAACACGAGGTCCCTTGCTCCATTTCCTGGTCACTATGGCTCAGGCAGCCCTTTGACCATGACAGTCGGCCTGGCTACAGGCCCAGGAACAAAGCCAGCAGCTGTATTCTGAGCCCTTTGAGATCATGAACCCAAAAAATCCTGCCTCCTTTGAAATTGTTGCCTTCAGGTATTTGTCACGGTGATCAGAAATTCTAACACCCCTGGTCAGGCCTCCAGCCGGGCCACTTTCCCTGGGCAGCCAGGCTCTTCTTAGCAGGCACACAGGTACTCACCAGCAATGACAGCAAAGTCAGCTTCCACGTCACAGGCGATAACATCTCCATTTCTTATGTACCTCTTCACGGTCTCCTTGACCTTGCCCATCCCTAGCTCGTTTCCTCCATCACCCACTCCTGAGGAGAAGAGAGACGGAATAGAGGGTGGGGCAAAGTGAGGAGGGAAAGACAGCCCCTGAAGGTATTCCTGACAACCAGACTTGATTCTTCTTCAGGTCTTCTAGAAACCTCTATAGTTGGGAATGGATCTGATTTTGGAGCTCACTGGAGTGGGATCCTGTCTTCTATCAGGTCCTCACATCCAGCCACGGGTGGGGTGCCTTGTGTTCTGACATGTCACCAGGCATGCTAGAAGCAAGGGTACAGTGACATTGGGTAGCTCCCACACAGTGACTGGCCAACACCCCACTGGCAGAGGTAAACTGTGTTTTACTCTAGACCAATGGTTCTCAACCTTCCTAATGCTGTGACCCTTTACTTTGTTGCTACTTTACAACTGTGATTTTGCTACTGTTATGAATTGTAATGTAAATATCTGTTTTCTGATGGCCTTAGGCAACCCTTGTGAAAAGGTCATTTAACCCCAAAAGGGGTCGCAACCCACAGGTTTCTGCCTACGGAATGTGAGAAGCATGCGTGTGATTCATTTTAATCTAAACAGAAGTGGTAGCTGTGAAATAGCCTCACAGGAGTGAACATGACTGCAGATGAGATGTCAGGCGAGCTGGGAATGGTTTTATCTGCCAAGAGATTCAGTCACAACTGCTCTGGAGAGCTAGGTGTGAGAACTGCTCTAGCTCTGGAGTTGGGAACCATTCTGTACAACACAGTGAGGATGGTTTTAATGACTTTTTAAGCAGGGTTGTGTCCCAGGACCCAAAGGACGGAATACTGGACCTCCATGGACTACAGGAATAATGAATAATGGGTTGGTACTCCGGATGTGGGTCCCCAATCCGGCGCTGGGACTACGGGGATCCCAGGGCAGGCGATAGACATTGGGCAGATGGGGAAACAGACCTGTAGACTGAATCATACTGAAAGTTTTGTTGAGGAGGAGGTAAGAAAAAAGGTAAAGAGACATAGAGACAGAAAGGACAGAACAGAAGAAGAGAGAGACAGGGAAAGTCCTGTCTGCCCCAGGGGGACAGCAGGAAAGAGAGAGCAAAAAGAGAGCGTAAGTGGGCGGAGATCTTTCTTTTAAAAGGACCCTTTGCACCTGCCTGCAGACTAGTAGTCATGGAACCCTGTGCTGACCAGGGCACTGCCTGAGTGCATTCTGCCAGGTGACAGGGGCAGGCCAGTGTAATGCCTGAATCCTATCATACAGGACTAGGTATCACTGTATTTGAGTTTCTTCCACAAGGGCTTATAATGATACATAGAAGAATTCTACTAGAGCAGTGGTTCTCAACCTGTGGATCTCGACCCCTTTGGGGTCATATGACCTTTCACAGGAGTCGCATCTCAGTTGTCCTGCATATCAGATATTTACATTATGAGTCATAACAGTAGCAAATTACCGTTATGAGGTAGCAACAGAATAATTTTATGGGGGGGATCACCACGATATGAGGAACTATATGAAAGGGTCTCAGCATTAGAAGAGTTGAGAACCATTGTGCTAGAGGCTAGCATTCATCCTGAGTTGATGGAAAGAGGGAATTAAGCCACCTCAAGCATTGGAGACCAGACGGAGCCGAAAGACCAGTGAGTGACAGAACATCTCCCACTATAACACACCCTGAGGATTGCTTCTGTTTGTACCCTGACCATTTTCCTCAGAACAGTTTCTACATTAGTGGCAGCCTGATTGGATGACAAAAACAACCGCCTGGAAGAGAGGGCCAGGGCATGTGGTGGGGGAGGGGATGCTCTGGCAGTTTCCCAGGCTCTGCCTGCTAATTACTCCTTTGGACACTTCTTGTGCTGGCAAGGATGCCTCCCTGCAGGTGGTGGGTCCTTTACCTGCCCAGCCCACAGTGACAGGAAGTGAGAAACCAACCAAGCTGACCACATTGCGTGTGCTCCACCCACAGCCTTTTCTGGGAAAATCTGGGGATTTACAGAAACTTTCTAGACAACCCAGAAGATTTTCATTCACTCCTCAAAACCTCAGAAGTCAGAAGGCACTAATGGATCTGGGAAACACTCAGAGGCTTGAAGAGTAACAGAGTAACAGACGCAGAAGCACAGGCTGGCTTTAATTACCTCGGGCCTGCCCCCATCTCCAGAGGGAGGAGGGAGAGCTGGGGTCCTTGGGGGACTGACTCAGTCATAACAGCAAGGTGATTCTTTAACTGTTGGGACTGGGACTGTACTTTCTCAAAATCCTGCTTGCAATGCTAATTAGCTAGGCAATTTCAACCTGGTTTTCTCATTTGCTTCCTACCACATAGAGGTTTTGAGCAGGAAAGAAAACATAACAGTTGTGAAAGTTCTTGGTAAAGTATAACGTTCAGTACCAAACCAAATTATTGCAGTATGATATTAACAATAATAGTTCACTTGTCTTACATTTAATTCACTTAAAAAGTTGTTTCTTCAGATGACACATGACAAAGTGCAACCTCTGTGGTCAAAATGATACACCCTGCTTCGATTTCATTATTGTTAATATTTCATGATGAGTATAATTACTTCTGAATTGGGCAAATCGAGTATGTCCTACGTGTGTTACTTCCCTTTCTCCTAAGGGAATGTTACATTTCTTAATAATGGTGTCATTAGTGTCTAGACTGGCTGAAATAAACAAAGGCCAATGGGGGGAGGTGAGTGGAAAGCAATAGTGAGCATAAAACCTTTTCCAGGCCTGTGCTCAGCTGATAATAAAAGACTCTTAGCACCAACGTGTTCACCTTGAATTCTTAGTGCCCCCCCACTCACCAGTCGATGAGATTCCAGGAATCTTCTGTGCAGCAAGGAAAATGTCGTCAATGGGGTCAACTAAGTGCTTGATGCTCATCTTCCTTGCGTTGTAGTAATTGCCATCGGCAGCCCTTCCTGCACGCTCTATGGCCACTAGATGGTCGAATCTGCCGGGTGGCAAGTGGGAAGTGGTAAGTGTTCATGGAGAAAATGGCAGCCTTGCTGGCTCTAACCTGTGTGCCTGTGTGAACGACCCTGGGTTTCTTAACTTGACTCATTTAATGCTAGGGGCCTGACCCAGGCCTGCCTTGTACAGGGGCTACCACAGGGCCTACCACAGGGCCTACCACAGGGCAACTAGCTCACCCACATTGCTGGTGGTGGGGAAATACAGCCCAGCACGGCTGCCTGAAATTCTAGGAGTTCCCGGGACCTCCGTGCAGGCAAAGCTGCCCTTCACTATACTGACTACATCACAAAAAGTGTTTCAAAACAAGTCAGAGTGAAGCCAAGTTAGCAAGTCTATGCAGGGATAGGAGATGGTGCACACTTCAGATTCAGATTTAGGTAGGAGCATTTAGTCTTTCTCTACACACACACACACACACACACACACACACACACACACACACACGGACAGTACACACCCCAGGCATGGATGTAGGTTTCTCAAGAGGGAAAGTAATACTCATGTGTTTTTAGTGGCGATATATATGATTTTGTGACCAATTATAGAGCTCAAAGTGTATAATTTACAGCAAGGCTTTAGAGATCAAGCAAAGTTTGTTAAGTAAAAGATGTGAGTGGGTTTACTTATTTTTTTTAAATCCCTTTGGTAAGTTAAAACTGTAAGACAGTTTCATTAGATACACTGCTTGGATGAACTGGGGCGTGGCAGTGAGGCAGGGGAGGATTGCTAACATAAACTCCAGTCCACAGACATCTTAGCCCAGGGTAAGCACAGCCTTATGTTTGTTTTGCTTTTGCTTTTCTTCCCCGAGACAAGGCTTCACGTCACCTAGGCTGGCCTCTGACTTGCTGTGCAGCCAAGGATGGCTTTGTACCTTCATCGTTGCTTTTTAAATTGATTACTACCATTATTGTATATGGGTGAAGTGTGGAGCCACATGTGCCACAGCCAAGGATGTGGGGGTTGGAACACAACTCCCTTTCTCCTTATGTGGATTACAGGGATCAAACTCAGGTCACCAGGCGTGGTGGCAAGCCTGCTGAGCCATCTTGCAGGCCCCTGCACTATTAAAATGGACTTTTTTATTATTATCAGTGTCTGCCTTTATGTGTGTGTATGTGCAAGATACATGTGTGAGTGCAAGTGCCCACAGAGTCCAGAAGAGGGCGCCAGGTCCCCCGGATATGGAGTTGCAGGTAGTTGTGAACTGCCTCATCTGAGTGCTGGGAGCCAAATACTCTTAACCACTGAGCCACTCTCCTGCCCCATGCGTGAGCAATTTGGGCTTTGTCAGATGTTCTCAGTTTCTCTCTGAAAAACTCAAGAATGAGGGCTGCTTTTCTTTCCCACACACCCTTCATTTTTCTCCTTTTTGGGGGTGGGGTTGAGACAGGGCTTCTCTGTGTAACTCTGGCAGTCCTGGAATTGGCTCTGTAGACCAGGCTGGACTCCAACTCACAGAGATCTGCGTCCCAAGTGCTGGGAGTAAAGGCGTGTGGCAACCCCTCACCCCACTTCTCCATCTTTCTATCCTATCCCAACAACCCTTGCAACAGACAGCCACTTAGAGCTACTTCACGTTAGTAGTCAGAAGCTGAAAGGCCAGGAGGCTGATGGTCAGGGTGACTGGATGCCTGCGAGACACTAACATCCTGCCCAGTGCACCATTATCCAGCACAGTGTCCAGTCAAAGAGGAAATGACTGTTGGCTGCTACAGACCCATTTCATTTCACTCCCTTTTAACTTCTCAGTCACATCACAGACATAAAGCAACGAGGAATGAACTTTTAAAGGGGAAAAATGAATGGAATATAACATGAACTCCTTAGGAGACAAAGATAGATTATAAGGGCACAGATGGCATGGTGGTCAGGGTTGCGGAGTCCTTTTACATAGGTCACACCCTGGGTCTTCCTGTCACTGGCCTTGGGTGAGTTGTTTGGTCTTTCTAACCACAGATCACCTTTTCCCTCTGTGAGACATCATGCACCTGCAGGATATCACACATATGCAGGATATCACACATCTGTAGGACATCACACATCTGCAGGATATCACACATATACAGGACATCATGCATCTGCAGTTGCATCTACAGTATTGATGGGGTTAAAGAAGGTGCCTGTCATGGAACCTGTAGCTACTCAGAGCTCAGTAAGCATCAGCTGGGCTTGCTGTTGGTATTTTTATTAGCAGGAATGTTTTAGTCTTATTTTATTTATGTGTGCATGTGTGCTTGTCTGTGTATGAACCATGTGTGTGCAGTCCCTGTGGAGGCCAGGAGAGGGTGTCAGATCCCTTGGGACTTGATTTACAGATGGTCGTGAGCTACCCAGTGTGGGTGCTGGGAGCTGAACCCCAGTCCTGTGCAAGAGCAGCACATGCTCTAACTGCAGAGCCATCTCTCCAGTCCTGTTAGCAGGAAGGTGGTTTGGATAATCCAAAGTGATTGGAACTGGCACTTCCACATCTCTAAAAGCACCCACGGTGGATTTCTTCAAAATCTCAACTCCATGATGGTATAGTATGGCCAGTCTTCAAAATGTTAAAAACAGACTTCTCATATGATCCAGAAATTCAGCTTTTTGGTACATGTTGGAAAGAACTAAAAATATGGATGTGTGGCTGCCCTTGTTCTGAGCAGCACTATTTCGAATAGGTGGTGGTGGTGGTGGTGGTGGTGTGTGTGTGTGTGTGTAGTAGTAGTAGTAGTAGTAGAACAAACTGAAAGAGAAAGCACCAAAGCACACAGAGCCAGCCCATCTGAGTCCTGTAATATTGAGAGTTGGTATTTTTTTAATGTCTATCTCAGTTACATGCATGTACTGGTTTACAATATAAAATATGTTATTGTGGGTTGTTTTAAAAGTGTGCAAAACACGGTATAAGTTTTAAAATCTGAAACATACTACAAAAAGGGGGTTTCAAAATATTTGACCACAATACAAGGTAACACACACACACACACACACACACAGGCGGGAGGAGGAAGGAGAGGAAAGGGAGGGGAGGAAGTGTTTCAAGAGAGCAGTTCCCATCACTCTACAATGCTGTTTCTATTTTGTTTCCTAAAAGTGTTGGCTGCTCCCAGTTGATCCCATTGTTGAGGGACGGCAAACATTCTTACTTTGTCAGATATGAGTGTCATCCCTCTCCACTGGCAGCGATCTACTTCCAGACATGTTCTATGGAGCCCTAACCTCATGGCTAATGTAGCCCATCAGAACTCTGGCTTCCTGGGCTGGTGGATTTCTTTTCTCCCATAGGATGAGTTGTGCAGGAACATTATTAGCAAGGTGACAAGGAAGTGGTTTTCCCCACTCCCATGCACTCCATCCGGGGTACCATATACATACCTAGGAGACTTGGGGTCCCCATCTTTGCACAAAAATGCCCGAGCATCTTCCACTGACCCACCTTGGTAAGTTAATGTGGGGATTGGTGTCTCCAGAACACCTTGAGAATAAAGACGAAGGGCAGCCTCATCAGGACATGTGTGAGAAGCATCTTTGGACAGTAATATAACCAATACTGAGTGGTATCCTTCCTTGTTAGAATCCAGAGGATGGTAGGTTTACTTTCACTCCTGACTAAACTCCAGAGTTGGCAGGACATGGACAGTTGAACTGGACCAGTATAGACCTGGGGATGTGCAATGTGTAAGATGCCCCATAATACCGTGTCAACACTGCCAGCGAGAGTGCCGTGTACTCATTTAGATGCCCACAGGACAGTGTGTCAGGCTCTTTACATGCATGCTCTCATTTAATTTCCATAATTGGATTCCATAAAGTGATTATTATTTCCATTTTATAGAAAAGGGAAACTGTTGCCCAGAGACATCAAGTATGTTGATCAGGGTCAGATATAGTATACATGTTGGCATCACAACTCCAGTTCTGTCTTAATTTAACTTCTGTTACTGTGATAAAACACCCCGGCCAAAGGCAGTTTAAGTGAAGAAGGGGTTAGTTCAGCTGACAATGCTAGTCTACAGGCCAACTTGATCTAGACAGTCCCTCAATCGAGACTCTTTGTCAAGTGACTCTAGGTTGTGGCAAGATGACATTAAAACGAGCCATTAAATTTCTACCCCCAGATCTTACCATTTCCCTGCAGAGGGGACCAATGACAACTGCAGCAGAGTCCCAGAGATTTGGATTGGGTGCTTGTATGGCAGTGGCTTACAAAGTGACATTGATTCTTAAATTAACATTTTGTGATTATACAAATAATACACATTATTGTAGATTATGTGGAAAATACAAACCTGTCTCCCCAAGTTGAAATTCAATTGGTTTTCATTAATTTACCTCTCAGCAGTTTGGGGAAGAATCCTGGATCATTCATGGTCCCAGGGCAAATCTTCAAGCAGAAGGAAAGATGGCTGACAGAGCACCCTGGACAGTGTGACTTTGGCTTGGGCACACGAGCCCCTCTGTAAGGGAATGCCCACCTATTCGCATGGCTGGGATGGCACGATGGTGGCCATGATACCTGTCAATCAACGACCTGGCTGGGATCTGGTGCAAAGTTGGTGCCGAGTAAAGGCACGCCTCACTTCCCTGGCCACCCTGGCATCAGATTCTAGTGAAGGGAGTAGGTACCAGGGAGGCCAGGCAGGCAACTAAGCCACGTGTCTGAGAAAGAACACACAAGACCTCTGTCAATATAGGTCAGGAGACATGCTTCCTTCTCTGAGCTACAGAGTGCAATCCTTGCTGGGCTTGGGCATGAGAGGGGAAAAGGGACTATACCACCCCTTCCCCCTTCTCTGTTATTTCCTAGGCCCCAGCAAAAGTACTGAAATACTTCTCACAAACAGATCTGTTGTGTCACTTGCTTCGTCCACACGTAACAAAAGTTCTGCAGAATCCATTAAAGCAACGGTTGCCATTGTGCAACTCAGACAGCTCCGAGTCCCTGAGAGTGACCCAGCTGAGCTCCAAGGAGGGGAACAGGGCACAGCCCTCTCTCTCTCTCTCTCTCTCTCTCTCTCTCTCTGGAGAATAAATGCTAAACATAGCCACAGCACGGTGCCAGGTAGCACCCGCTGTTGGCCCTGGAGCAGAGCTGACACGGTCACCTGTCCCTTGGTTTCCTGTTCTCACTTGCTGATCCGACTACAGTATTCCTTTTCTCTCGTCCTCTGGATGAGAGGCCACAGGGTGTAATCCGGGCTCCTTTGTCCCCACTTGTCCCCACAGTGGTCTCCCTGAGAGCTTCCACTGTAGAATTCACCTCGTAAGTGATCTTCAGCTTCCATCTTCACAGACCCTGCCCTCTACTCTTACAACATTCTGGTTGCTCTGAGGCCTGAGAATGGGGTGCAGGAGGTTTCGTGGGAGATGGTGCCAAGAAGCTGAGGGGAGAGACGACCGCATGTGAGGAGGGAGATGTGCACTTTCAGGATCACTGCTTAAAAAAAAAATTGTGGTGGCACACGCCTTTAATCCCAGCACTTGGGAGGCAGAGGCAGGTGGGTCTCTGTGAGTTCAAGGCCAGCCTGGTCTATAGAGCTAGTTCCAAGATAGCTAGGGCTGTTATACAGAGAAACCCAAGAGAGAGAGAGAGAGAGAGAGAGAGAGAGAGAGAGAGAGAGAGAGAGAGAGAGATTGGCATGTCACGTTCACTAAGATATGTGTATCTCCAAGGAGGCAAAGGACTTAGATCCTGTCCCTACTAGGCTGAGGCTGTCTTGGCGGGGGAGGCTGGTATAGGAACTGGTCCCTGTGTGGACAACAGTGATTGATTTGATCACTTGGACTTCCAGGAATCTCAGTATCGTTCTCTATAAAACGAGACCCCTTTGTGGTAACAAAATTGTTATGAGCTTGGAGATAAAACACCCTGTTACAAGGACACGTTGTAGGGCTGGTATATGACTGAAGGTCCAAACACTGGTTTCCTCAGGCCTCTGCCAGGAAAGACCTGCTTGGGGAAATGGCTTAAGCCCATGCCAAACTCACCTTGCTTAACAGCATCTTCAATAAGCTTTGTGTGCAAGTTCAAGGCTCTCTGATCTACCACCATGGAGGTCTCCTTCCCCAGAGCCTGCAGGAAGGCAGCTAAAGCAATTGCTCCCGGTGGGCCATCTGTCTCCTCTGGGGGCTCGTGATTGAAATGTGTAGGGAATCCAGTGGTGACTAGTACTGAGTGGGCATGAGACAGCGACAGAGCAGCTCGCAGAAGCTCATCTTTACGTAGCAGGTGCCCAATCCCCCGGTTACCTGAAATCACAAAAATAAAGCAAAATATCTAGATGATTGTGTTTAAGGTAGGAACACTGATAGCCTGGGCTGTTTGAGGTCCGGAAGTCATTTGGAGGGATGTGGCAGACTGAACGGTTTATAGGGATGCATCCCATCTCTGTCTTTCTGTCTCACACCTCTCCCTTAGCTAGAGTGGCCACCAGACTGGCTCAGTCCCACAGAGCATGAGGTGATGGGTGGCCTCACCGAGCCTGGCCCTGTACTTCCCATGTGTTTCTCCAAGGACACCTACCCTCTTCTTGTCTGAAATGTTGACAGCTATAGTGTGCTATGATGGCAGAGCTGCTGGGATCCCAAGCAGCTGGCTAGAGCAGAGTCCCTCCCTGCTGACACAGAACTTTCTGAAGACCTGCTGTGTGCTGTTACAGGGAGGTGGCGACGCATGTGCAGGCTCGTCTGCTGGAATGACTTAGCAAAACCTAACAAATAGAATATATCAAGAGGAAAGGGAATGGAACACATTCACTGGGAAGTCTTCCTCAAGCCCAAGACAGGAGCTGGGGTGCAATTATTCTAGGAGATTGTAGTGCCAGGAAACACAGAAGACAACGACACCCAGAAAAGCACGAGAGTGAGCGAGTTAACCCCTAAGGCAAGTGGATCTCTGTCTTGCTTGAGAGCCCTAGGAGGCCATGGAGGATGTACCATAGAACTGCCCGCCCTGCCAGAGCTGCTGCCCATTTGCTCACTGGCTTCTGTCCCATTTGGGGGAAGTTTGCCCATGAGGGAGGGGGTCGACTTCATCGTTCTCTCTGGACTGTGCCTCCCATGATAGAGACAGATACAGACTGTCTTCTAGTGGAGGAGTTGAGCAAATAGGGGGCCACTCATTGCCTCTGTAGAGGAACCCAGTTAGTCCAGGGGACACAGACGGGGGTGGGGACAGACAGCCATACTAAGGTTGTCCAGCTGGGCCAGGTTGAGCAACAGCACTTCCTGACTCATGTCCATTCTGTCATGCCTCTGTCTACCCTCCATCTCTTCTTTACGAGTGCCATATGGAGGCAGAGTATGACTCAGAACATCCGCCCCGGCTGAGCTGCCTCCGAGCAGACCAAAGGGAAGTAGAGGGACATTGACTTGCACTGAGGTTCACAGAGAGCATTAAGGATGCTGGGTTTGGGATCCCCACTATGGAGGCAGCACTCCAGACTGAGGAACATTCCCCAGTCCTGGCATATGATAGCTTTGTGTCCTTGGCCCTATATCTGGGTTTTCCTATAGGAAAAATGATGCAGGTAATGAGATGGCCAGAGTCTGTGGGGACAGAAACTCTCAACTACTAGTTTTTGGAGACGGACCTGGAAGTTGAGATCTGAAAGGTGATCTTCTTTTAGACTTTTTAAAAATGTATTTATTTATTTATTTATTTATTTATTTATTTATTTATTTTCGTTTTGTCAAGACAGGGTTTCTCTGTGATTTTGGAGGCCGTCCTAAAACTAGCTCTTGTAGACCAGGCTGATCTCGAACTCACAGAGATCCGCCTGCCTCTGCCTCCCGAGTGCTGGGATTAAAGGCGTGCGCCACCACTGGACGGCCTTTCTTAGACTTTTTATAATTCTTTCAGCTGGCCTTTGGCATCTCTAACAAAGTAGCCCCGGTATGTGTAAAGTTTAGTGAGAGGAGTGTGTAGACTGTGGTACCCAATACTGGATTATTAGGGTAAATGGTGGCACCCTCACACAATGACATTTTATGCAAACATTAAAAAGGATGTCGTGAACTGGGTGTGGTGGCTGTCCTCCTGGGAGACTGAGGCAGGTGGATTGCAGAGAGTTCAAAAGGTAGCCTGGGCTATAAAGGGAGACTCTGTCTCAGAGACAGTATGTAAATGTTGTAGAGATCATTTCGTAATATGGAAAGTCATTACAGCTCATTAAAAAAGTCCTAAGATAGTATCATGGTGGGTTCCAGTAAATATATTCCTGTTTACAAATATTTGAGGCCAAAGAAAAGGACTTTAATGGCAAACACAGGCCTATTAATAATTTATTGGTTGGATGGATTCTAATATTTTGAAGTGTGGATAGGTGTGTGTGTGTGTGTTTGTATGTGTTCTCGTTCATGTGTGTTTGTGTTCATATGCATATGGAGGTCTGAGATTGATGTCATGTGTCTTCTTTGCTTAGTCCAGTTTATTTCTCTCCCTCTCTCTTTCTTTTGGAGGCGGAGGCAGGGTCTCTCACTGAACCCGGCGAGGCACTGGTTTGGCTAGGCTGACTGACCACTGAGTCTCAAGATCTACCTATCTGCCCACTTAGTTTTGGGATCCCAGGTACACGCTGCTGTCCCTGCTTCTTACATGTGTGTTTGGGACTAAGCCCAGCCCCTCCCCTGCTGACACGGCACACATATAACCAACTGAGCCATCTCCTCAGGCCCCAGGAGTCTGGTAATTGTTATTGATTCTTCACTTTTATACAATTTCATTCTAAAACTAAATTTTATTAATTAGGTTCATTTTTGAGACTGGATCAAGCCCTGGTCTTGAATTAACAATCCTCCTGCCTCAGGCTCCTAAATACAGGGATCAGAGGTGTGCACGGCCATCCAGGCTATTTTCCTGTATTTTCCGATGTTCCTACAGTGACTATGAAGTACTGATGGGGAAGAATAACAGCATTTTGTAAAACAAAACTGGATGTAATGTGTTTCTTGGAGTGTGATGAGCACTGAAGAGAGAGAGAGAGTCTGGGCAACAGAATGCTGTGTGTACATCCGATAGTTTTATTACCAGTGCAAAAACCATTACTGTAAATCTCGCTTCCTCCACATACTCCAGACACCTCAAATGCGAGTCAATGTCCTCTTAAAAATGACTGAGTGGATCTATTAATAAGCCCAGTGAGTAATGGCCAGTGCACAGTACATCCTCATTAATCTTACATTTGCCTATTTGAGTGGGAATCGAAGTCATCTATTGTTCTTGCAGATTAAAGATGGCTTTTCATAGATGAAATCGGCACATCAGACAGTCATAAATCTGCCTCCCCCGAGACTCATGCTTCAAGCTCCACCCCAGTCTGCAGGAGCGCCTGCGGGAGGGATCATGTCTGACCTTTCTGCCCACCCTTATGAGGCAATGGCTGAATGGAGGTGACAGCAAATCTACCATCAACTCCTTTTAAACTCAGAGCTGATTTCAGAGTTAATAATTCATCTTTCCTTGTGACGCCGTGTTAAGCAGGGGCGCCAGCTTGGAGAAGGCTGGCTGGGAGGGAATCAGACTTCTAGGAGAGGCCATGTTAGTCCCAGGTATTTGAGGTATGGCTACTTCCAGTTCTTAGGACACCTCTCATGAGAAGGTACAGGAGGAATGGGACATTCTAAGGGATGCTAGAGGACTTTTTACCTACCCAGGCAAGAAAATGACACACAATTTGTAATTCAGATTCTAATTTATACAGCATGTGTAAAGCATGATCAACACAGCCCGTGGGCAAAAGTTCAACCATGTGTAACCACCTTCTTAACCTTAACTTATATGCTTTGGCTTCTTTTACTAAATAAAGTTAATACAAACTGTCTCATAGAGACACCAGAACATTTACTAAGATGGAACATGCATTTACTGATGCTCAATAGGGAGTAACTAACTATAGCACAACTAATTATCTTGCTATTTAGCATAACCTCAACAAGGAGGTGTAATTGATTGTCTGTAGTCTTGTTACACTGATGAGGAAACCGAGGCAGGATTACCCAGCAATTGTCTCATGAGGGCGGGCCATTGAACTACCTGTACAATAGTGGATGACACAGCACCCTCTGCTGGCTACCTGGAATTCAAACTTCGTCTCCTAGATGCAGACCAACCCAGAAAAGTTTCCAACTAGCTCTCCGTAGACCTCCTAATTAGAATCAGCTGCTCCCTGGAAGGTCCACCAGCCTTGTCCCATGCTTAGAAAGCTGGTGGCTAAACCGGGTAGTGGCACATGCCTGTAATTCCAGCACTTGGGAGGCAGAGGCAGGTGGATCTCTGTGAGTTCAAGACTAGCCTGGTCTACAAAGTGAGTTCCAGGACAGCCAGGGCTGTTAAAACAGAGAAACCCTGTCTTAAAAAAACAAAACAGGAAGGAAGGAAGGGACAGAGGGAAGGAGGGAGGGAAGGAGGAAGGAAGTAAAGAAGGAAGGAAGGAAGGAAGGAAGGTAGTGCATGTACATATTTCCATGTGTTTGTCCCTCTATCCCCAGGGCATTGGCACAGAAGGGGGAACTAGGGATATTAATAAATACACTTGTAACTTTGTTGCTGTTGTTTGCTTTCTTGAGATAGTCTCCTGTAGCCCAGTCTGCCTCAAACTCACTACACAGCTGAGGATGACTTTGAACTCCCAATCCCCTTGTGTCCATCTCCCAAGCACTGGGATTCCAGACATGCATCACAGTTACCGTGGCAACTTTTGAAAAACAGTGGTAGTTGCTTATTTAGGAATAACCGCATTCCTGACTTTTTCCCCCTCAACAATTCACTTACTTCTATGTGCCTGCATGTATGTATGTGTACCGTGTGCATGTTGGAGACCAGAAGAAGATGCTGGACCCTCTGGAATGAACTGGAGTCACAGATGGTGATCAGCCACCATGTGAGTGCTGGGAGCCCAACCCTGGCCCTCTGCATAAGTGGATATGCTTAACCCTGAGTTATCTCTCTAGCCTCTAACACCCCTCTTTCTCCTGGTGCTGGAGACTGGAGTCGGGCCTGTGTGTTCCTGGCTCACTCCACCACCGAGTTATCCCCTGGCCCTTGTTATTTCTTACTCATGATGTTCATTTGACTCTGGTGGCAGCTCACCCAGCTAATGAACTCGCTCACATGCTTAGTGTTGGCATTTAGAAAACCAGCAGCCGCGAAGAAAACAGTCACCCATAGTGTCCCTGCCATCAGACCCTGCGGTGGTTTGAGTAAGAATGCCCCCCCCCCCCCCCGTGGGCTCACATATTTGAATGCTTAGTCATCAGGGGGTGGAACTGTTTGAAAGGATTAGAAGGATTAGGAGGCGTGGCCTTGACAGAGGAAGTGTGTCACTGGGGGTGGGCTTTGAGGTTTCAAAAGCCCCCACACCAGCCTGCCCCTCTCAGTTACTTCTCCAGGACCATGCCTGTCGTGTGTGCTGCCATGGTGATAATGGACAAAGCCTTTGCAACTGTAAGCCAGCCCCCAATTAAATGTTTCCTTTTATACGAGTTGTCTTGGTTGTTGTGTCTCTTCACAGCTATGGAACTTGACTAAGATGGCCCTCAGTGTATGTTTTGGTGGATTTGCTTCTGGTCTTTCTGGTACTCATACATGGTATAAGCTTTAAAAAAAAAATCTCTGATTAAGTTTTAAAATGTATATGTGTATGTGCTGTGTGCTCACACGTGCCATGGTATAGATATGGAGGTCAGAGGACATTATGTGGAATGTTCTGTGGAACTCAGGTTGTCAGTCTTGGCCGGTGTAAGAATTTTCAGGAATTACACTGTGGACAGTTTGGACAGTTTATATCTTTCCTCTTAGAACAGTAGGTGTAACTGTTCTGATTACTTATTCATTATATATTTACTGTGTGTGTGGTATATGTAGGTGTGCATGTAAACATGTGTGTGCGTGTGTATATGGAGGCTAGAGGTCAACATTGAGTGTCTTGCTCAGTCGCTCAACTCCTTCATTTTGAGAGGAGTCGAGTCTTTCACTGACCCTGGAGCTCATTGATTTGGCTACGATGGGTGGCTAGAAGCTCCAGGAATCTACCTGTTTCTACAACCTCCAGCATACTCTCTCTCTCTCTCTCTCTCTCTCTCTCTCTCTCTCTCTCTCTGTCTCTCTGTCTCTCTCTCTCTCTCTCTCTCTCACACACACACACACACACACACACACACACACACACACACACGCCCTGAACTGGGATTACAGACATGTACTACCATGCTCTAATTTTTGCATGGGTGCTCGGGTTCTGAACTCAGGTCCTCATGCTTGAGTATCAGGCACTTTCCCCACAGAACCATCTCCCCAGCCTCAAATACTTCGTTCTTACCTGGGTCTATGGCGATTATGGACTCCAGCTTTCTGATCTTTTGAACAGCAGCGGCTGACACTATGCTGTAATGCAAAGGGTCTTTGGAAATGGCATGGATTTCTGGAACCATCTCAGGAGTCAGACAACCGGCTGGAGATACAGTGTCCTTCGGGATCATCACGGTGCTGCCTGGAGTGCTGGTGAAAGCCAGGGGAGCCTCTGGAACACACACAGGTAGGGCTGTGACGTCACCCCACCAAGCCCAATCCACAGTGGCCAGGGAAAATGAGATGACCCGGCACCAAGTCTGTCCACAGAATTCCCTGTGCCACATGCTGGCACCAAGGTCGGAATGGGCCGGCTTGTGGCTAGACCACATTCTATTTAAACAGTTGCCCCCACATTTTTGGAAAGTGGGGGTGAGAAATCGAGGTGCACCCATAGCTGGAGTATGAGCTCTAGGAGATTCTGTCCATCCATCACCTGACAGATAACAGAAAGCACAGGCCAACCCTTCAGTGCATGAGGCCACTCACTTTACCTTGCAACCGGTGTTAGATTGGGTACCCTCTGTGTGTGGAGTTTCTGCTCTCTCATAGTGTTTACATTTTTCTTAAAACAACAATAACAACACTCCGCTAGATTACAGCCCTAAGCAGCACACTTGTGTCATCCTCAGAAGAGGCTGCAGCAGGGGCGAAGCTTCATGTTTCAGGGGTGACTCTACACTTTCTACACGCATCTGTTACATTATAAAATAATGGCCATGCCCTGTCTGGTTGTGGTCAGTACTGAGCTGGGGAAGTACAGGTACAAGTAGCCAAGTGCTGGGTGCTGAGCGGCCTCAGTGAGGGTTTGTATTAGTGAGACTGGCATCAAATCATCTCTTTGTTCTTGTGTTCGGCTTCTAGGCACTTCTACCTGCCTTCCTTGGTATCACTATTGTATTAGACTGTGCTCTCTCCACCCAGCTGTGTGCCCCTCAAGATGAGACACCATTGTTTCAAATGCCTTGCCCGTAGTAGGTGCTAAACAAATGTCAGTGGGAAATGAGTAAGTGATGCATTAGATTTCACAGAATTGTAACATTGCTTGGATTAAATAGAGTCAGCTAACATTCAAAAGGAGCATCTACTCATAGACACATATTGTGTTTTTAATATAGAAACCTATGTGTGTGACCTATGAAAGGTACAACTATTGACTCTGAGGAATGGTTACCTTTGTGTGTGTGTGTGTGTGTGTGTGTGTGTGTGTGTGAGAGAGAGAGAGAGAGGGAGAGAGAGAGAGAGAGAGAGAGCACCTAGAAGTGATCACTGGAAAGACAGGTACACACAAGAGCAGTGGGCTCAGAATGGAGCACGAGGCTTTGCTCCCGTCAGTTGTGTGGTGTGTGCAGCAGGGACTCCGATGCTAATAAAACCTACATGCTGAGGAGTGAGCATGATTTGTTGGCATACAGTAGGTACTCGTGTGTGGACCTTTAAATAAACACTAGAATCCCGTGGATTGGGCTATGTCTTGTCACTGAACTCTCAGGAATGCTATTAAAATAAAATAGCACTACACTTGACTCTATAGTAGAATAGCTGACCTGACCAGAATTTTCCAGTGCACATGTTCCTGTTACTGGAAGCCAGGGGGCGCCCTCTTATGTCTGTTCACAGCAACGCTAGTCTAGCCCTTTTGTGTGTTGCGGGGGAGACTGCTGACGAGATTGCTTTGTTCTTAGCATCCATCCAACTACTGGTTGAAAATATTCAATAGAAGAATAATTATGCCTGTAGTGAAGACAAATAGTTTTTTTTTCTTTTTCTTTCTATATTAAAAACACAATATAATGGGCGCAGAGAGATGGCTCAGCAGTTAAAAGTATTTGCTGCTCTTGCAGAGGACTTGGGTTTGGTCCCCAACACCCACATGGCAGCTCACAACTACTTGTAACTTCAGTTCCAGGGGACCTGATAGCCTCTCCCAGCCTCTGTTGGCATCAGGCACACACATGATGCACAGACATACATGCAGGCAAAACATTCATACACATAAAATAAGTTAAAAAATTAAAAATAGAACATCCATTTGCAAACACATTGCATTAGGAACCACACACATTCTAGTAATGAGTTCAAGTGTGCAGAAGGATGAGCAACGTGTCAACACTGCCCTCTTCTGGGAGAAGCTGGAGTTTGGTATTAAGGGGTTCTGGGACGGATAAAAAAACGATTTCATTGTAAAATTCAACTGTTTCTCGATGGCATCCTTTTGCTTTCAAGGCTCTTCTAATCTCAAAGGTCAAGCTGAAGGCTGACCTTCAGCAGGTGGAAGAGTAATCCAAAGGCGCTTGCACTAAACAGCTGCTATGACAAAGTGATTCGGCCCTGGGATAAACAGAGAAAATGGGAGACACTGTAGCCACTTAGCCTATATCTGTTTTCCAGGGCTGGGAGTTAAACACAGGGTAGCTTTAAGCATGCTGGAAAAGTGCCCTACCACTGAGCTACATCCCCAACTCTAGGCCCGTGTTCTCCAAGTTTCAGTCATTAATCAGTAAACCTGTGCTTTCAAGAACTCCAGATCCCCTGGGCTACCTCTGAGATCGGGGTAGTTGTACCCTTATGCCCCAACATACTGCAGTTTCTGACGGCTTCCAGACTGGTCAGCTCTGAAGGCCAGAATACTGGAACATCCTCAGGCAGACACTCCACATAATTCCCATAGTCAGGTTTGGAAAGGGCCTTGATTCCCAAAAGTTCTGCATATGGAAAAAGAAAACAGAATTCCTCTGGTCAGTACTGAACACACGGATACGCTGGGTACATTATGGATCTCCCTCCCAAAGAAATAGTAGTTGTAGCATTATCCTGATGGTCAGGAGGGAGAGGAGAAGGAGGTAGTGATGGCTAGGGACTGGAGTCTTAACAGATAAGGATGTCCTGTAACTTAGGGCCCATGGTGACTGGTACAATCAGGCTGACTTCTCAAATTGCATGGTGTGGTGTCTGGAGGGAGCCTATGATGTGTCTAGCTCAATACTGGACTTGTAGACTTGTAGCACTGTGTGATACAGACTGACTAAGTTACACAGCTGTAGCCTCTGTTATCCCTACCAGTAGCCCTAGCCTGGCCAGCAGTCATCGACATGAAGACAACACAGATGGATGTGCCAGGGCCTGTTTACCCGCGTTAGGAAGAAGACAAGTCAGTAGACATCCTCTGGGTGGCCCCGAGGCTGTTTTGGGTGAGGAAGGCCAATAGTGCTGATAGTATGTTTATAGACTGTCAGGTCTTTGATGAGTCTGTTGACTTCAAACCTGGGCAAGTTCAAGGTCACAGACCCTGGCTCTCACCCAGGCCAACCCCAAGCTCCCTCCAGGCCCTCTGGGAGCTCCAAGAGGCCTGGGAGGCACCCAGACTTTTGACCTTCACCCTTGGAGTCTGTTCATTTACTCTCGGGCTAAGTAAATACTTGTGGCTTTCAATCCAAATGTAAGTTTGAGTTTTATTTATTAATATTACTACACGCATGCGCGAGCACGTGTGTGTGTGTGTGTGTGTGTGTGTGTGTGTGTGTGTGTGTGATATTTGCACATGATCATGAGCAACACATGTACCATACACATGCATGTAGAGGCCAGAGGACAACTGGAAAGAAAAAGTCCCATGCACCATGATGCAGGGATTATGGGAAGCTCATCGGAGTTTTATGTGATCACAAAGCCTCAAGATGAAGCTTGTTGGTCTGGCAAGGTGGTGCTGTTTTAAGCCAGACAGTCAGCTGGTATGGAGCTCTGGGCTTCACCCCAGGTCCTCACCCCTGAGACTCCCCGAAGAGCAGCATAAGCTCCTAGATGCTTGTCAGGCCCATGTTGGAAGCACAGCTGTGGACACTGACCTGGGTTGCCGATGTGGATGGGTTGTCCTTGCTGTCCTCCCAGGAAGTGAGTGGCTTGCAGTAGCCTTTCCAGCTTGTCCTTGGGAATGGGTCTCATTGTGACCACCAGAGGGCAGCAAAAGCCAGCAATGGCAGCACATGGCACCGTTGTCTGACAAATGAAGTAAAAAAATGTAGGGGGAAGGAAAAAAAATAAAAAGGAATTAACACAGATTCAAGCCCCAGTACCCACAGCTCAAGAAGCTTCGTGAAGCAAGGGGTTCCAGCAGCTGCTGTAGAAACATGCCTTCTAATTTGAGGAGTCACACGGGTGGGGCATTTGTCAATAACAAGTAAATCAAAACGGGGACGGGGGCTCTTAATTTTTTTTTTTTAAACCTGTCAACATTTGACACATCTCCTAAGCTGGACAGAGTAATATTTTAACCACATAAAAGAAAATTCATGGGTGGCATGTGTCTGCAGTCCCAGCACTTGGTGGGGGAGAGGTGCTAAGACAGGAGAATGGAGAGTTTGAGCCTTGACTATGTGGGGAGTTCTAAGGTTAGCCTAGGTTACACAGTGAGAGCCTCCTTTAAACATAAACACATGGCGAGGGGCAAAAAGGTAAGGGAAGAGAAGAAAATTAAATATCCCAAAGGAAACCAATACTATCTCAAACATTCGAATGTAGTTACTGGAGCATTCCACGGGGAAAACGGTGTGCTCTCCCACGGACAGCTAAGAGGACAGAATGGCAGATCTATAACCGTTGTCATTTTAGAGTGTCAGGGTATAGAGTGTCTTTGAGAGTCTGAGAACTGTACTGTGATAGGGACGGTATGGTGATATGAAACTATCTGTGAAATACTCGATCAGCCACAATGCTGAGGGTCCAACAGCCCTTTGTCACCAACATTCAGAAACGAAGGAAATGCTAAACTCCATTTGAGGTTTATCTCTCTCTCTCTCTCTCTCTCTCTCTCTCTCTCTCTCTCTCTCTCACATACACACACCCAATCTCATAGGCCTCTAAGGCAAAAGGGAGCAGATAACCCCGAGCTCCACCTCTAGATTCCCCAGGGGAGGCGCCTGTCCCTGGATGCCCCAAGTTCTCCCTTCGTAGAGTCTGCACAGGGTGACCTGCATGACTTTCACTCCTGGCACGCTTCTTCCTCCCCTGCAGCGGGGCTTATGACAGGGTTAGGACACAGCCAGGATCGTGATCCTCTGGGACAACCTTGGCTGCCACTTAACTGGCTTGCCGTTAGCACCCTGGCATCAGTAGGATGAAATCCTGGTGTGCTGCCAACCTGGTGTCCATATGACAGCACCCAGGACAGGGAGGGGACACATGTAGGCCACTTGCAAAGCTGGGCAATGCTCCTAGGAGCTGAGATGCCCCTGTCTAGGTCTATCCAGGCCATCAGTCTAAGTCAAGATGGCTGTATGACCACATCTCTCGGGTTCTAAGGGCGGTGGGGTGGGGTGGGGTCGCTACAGACTGAAAGCTGTATGGCAACCATGGGGAGAGAGGGCGGTGAGATGTGGTAAAAGTCAGGCTGTGGCTGGTATCTCCTGTGGACACCTGTGCCTCTGTGCAGGTTTATTCAAGTCACCACATTGGCCAAGAGTGTGGTTCCAGTTGGTTCTGGGTCTTGGGATGTCCCTTTAGGTCTTATTTTCTTCATCTCTAATGAGGGGCTGTGCTGATGAGTCTGAGGCTATCCCAGTTCTAACCTGCTACAAGCAATAGTGGGTCCCAGCCAGTGGCCCGGGCTCTGTCCTCCTCCCTCTTTGCTATTGACCCTTGAAAGGCAATGCCGAATGTGGACGATCTTGTTTCTGACCTGATGCAACCCAGGCCTCTCTGACAGGAGCCAAAGGGGACACTGTTACACACTGTGCTCAAGATGAAATGTCTAGTCACTGTGAAGCAGGGAAGCCTGGAGGCCGGGCCTTCATTCCCACAGGGCCCTGGAGACTGGGCTCCCTGTGACCAGCCTGGAGGGTGGTCATTTGTACAGGGCCCTGGAAGCCCCTGATCTGGAGGGCGAGCGCTCGCTCACACTCATCTCAACAGCATCAGGGAAGGAACAGTGAGGCAAGGATTGCTTTTCCCCCACTTGACTGGTGTGAGCAGGAAGAAAAGCTGATCACCTCAGCCATGGACAGTCCCTAACCATAGGCCTGTCCCAGGAGAGGCCACCTTTCTGTCCCTGTTCATCTTCAGTGCCCACATCAAAACTGGGCATAGTGACACCCTGTGCTTGCAGTTTTGGCACTGGTGAGAAGTCAGGAGCATCTCTGGGACTCTCTGCCCACCAGCCTAGCCTTAACCAGTGAACCCCAGGTCCCATGAAACCTTGTCTCAGAAACCAAGGTAGGGTCAGTGAAGTGAGTCAGCAGGAAAGGTGCTTGCTGCCAGGCCTGTCGACCTGAATTTGGTTCCCAAGACCGAAGGAAGGAGAGAGCTGATTCTAAGTTGTCCTCCAACCTCCACACGTGCCCTGAACCCACCTTCATCATCCCCTCTCCAAATAAATGTAACAGGAAACAAGGTACACTGACCTTGGAAAATACTGGTTGACCTCTGGCCTGAACGTACACTATATACATACATGTATGCCTCAAGGGCATGAACGTGCACTTATGTGTACGCGCACGCATGTGTGCGCGTGCACACTCTCTCTCTCTCTCTCTCTCTCTCTCTCTCTCTCTCTCTCTCTCTCCAAGTGGCTTTTATTGACTCAGCTGTAACAATTGCTCAAAGGGGCCACACTGGGTGCTCCAGCCACATCAGAGGTGGGAGGGAGAGAAGCTGGCTTGGAAGCTAACAACTTTACCTGGGAGAGCGACCGAGAAGGGGCTGACCTTAGGGTTTCTGCTTCCTGTACCAATGTTCTGTCTACCATAGGAAAATACAACTCCATCCACATTTTCAAGCCATTCAGCCCAGGGGTGTGGCCTTACCTTGTATGCTCCTGAATGGCTGGGACCTGCTGGATCTCTTCTGGGGATCCCTGCCTGCTCCAAGGCCTCTTCTATGGAGAAGCTACAGTCCATGATGAAGGCCATCATGTCCTCCAGCTGCTCTGAGTACTCTTCCAACGAGGCCAGGACGCCTGTGCAGGCACCAAACTCGTATTTTTGGAACTGTGGAGAGATGGTCCTGCGGACACAAAGCAATGCTCACAGGCCTCTGACTTTTAGTATGGTTCCCCGATGATGCCCCTTTTAAAAGGGCAGTGGAGGGGGTTAGCTGAGGCTGGCATGTCTAGGGAACTTGGTGTCTGCCTATGGGCTTGGCTGGTGTTCTTGAAGCATGACCAAACGAAAGCTTCTGAATCCACATGTGCAATACCTGTGGCTCATGCAGTCTCCTGACCTCAACAATGAGATCAGTCAGACCCACAAGAATGAAATACTGGTGGACTTTCTGCCACGGGGGGGGGGGGATGCTGGCAGATCCAGACAGAAGATGGTGGCCCCAGGGAACCTCTCAGAGTTCACAGGTCAGAGTTCGCAGGGCAAGGCCTCCTTTCTCCATCCGGGAGCTCTCACCTCTGCTCGCACCAGATCATTTATCAAGCTCTTCCTCCTCCCCACTCCTTTCCAGGGGGCTGGGGTTGAAGGATGTGACTCCACCTTCAGACACGCGCTACACGGAGTAGCAAGTGTCTAGACGGTGGAGAGACACAGGACAATGAGAAGTTTCCTCTTCTCTTATGCTAGTCTGGATCTCGAGTGTCACCCAGAAGTCCCTGGACCAGCTTGTGGTGGTAGTTGCAGGTATGGGCCTTTAGAAGGTGGGGGGCTAGTGAGAGGGGGCTAGGCCACTGGGGACATCCACTTGAGGAAGAGGAGGCCACTTTCTCATTGTCTTTCCTCTTTGGGAGGAGCTTTGCTCCATGCCATGTCCCCTGCTGTGCTGTGCACTTTGCCACAGGCCCAAGCAATAACCAGTCAACTGTAGCTAGTCTCAGACTCAAACGGTGGCCACAGGCAACCGTGCACTGAAACCTCCAGAAAACGGCAAACCAAAACAAGTTGTTCTGTCTTCATGCTTGTCCTGGGTATTTTCTCATAGTGCGGAAAGCTAACAACCCACTAAGGGGGAGGCGTTGGGTCTTGAGGCAAAAATGGGAGTTAACAAGTTGGATAGGGAGGAAAGCGCACCTAGGCGGAGGTTGCAGAATGTGCAAAGTGTGGAGGGATTGAGTGTGGGGGGCCATGGGGGGTCTGCACCAGGGGGCTCCAAGCTGGTAACACAGGAAGCACCAGCTCAGGCCCTAGTAGCATTTTTGAGGGGCCCTCTCATCCTTGGGTCTACAGAATGATAATAGGAAGCCCTCTGTCCAGAGCGAGAGGTGCCCTGAGCATCAGGAGAAGCTGAGCTGGGGCCAGGTCACCACTGGCACAAGCCACAGGCGGGCCTTGGAGACTTTCAAATGGTAGAATCATGTGATCGGATGTGGACTTGGAAAAGGCCACTTTGGTGGGTGAGCAGAAGAGGGTTACACAGGGAGGAGAGAGCTCAAGGAAGACAGGAAGAGAAGTCAGAGTGTCTAACAATCGGGGTCACAGAAGGTAGAGCCATGATTAGCCTCACAAACGAAGCTAGGGCATGGTGGAGAGGCATAGATGCAGGTTTCCAGGGCCACCTATGAGGCTTGCTATGCCGTATTCCTGTGTGTGGAAATACATCCAGTATCCCTAATGGATACCTGACACTAGCTAGGTCCCAAACCCTCTATGTGGTCTTTCCCCTGATGTTTACTTTATATCAGAGATTCACAGTAATTGTAACGATATACTGTCATAAAAGTTATTTAAAACATTGAGTTATTTATTCCTGGAATTTTCCATGCCATATTTTTAGACACTGGTCACCCGTGGGTAACTGAAACTGTGGACAGGAGCTAAAAGGGACATCTGCTGTCTCAGAGTCTGGGCAAACATGCACAGTATAACTGGTATTTTCCTCTGGGGGGGTTAGTGATGCAAGCATTGTTCTTTTCTTCTTAATCCTGTGCAAGGCTTTCTGGTAGGAATGATAAAGTGACAGGTGGCAATGCCTATCATGGTAAATTTTAATTGTCATTGATGCTATGTAGACTCTGTGGGAAGAATCTCAGGCTGGCCTGTAAGAAAGTCTTTAGGAAATTATATTGATTAACTGAGTTGGGAAGACCCATCTCCTGTGGGTGGCACCATTCCCTAGGCAAGACGATTGTGAGCTGCATCAGAGTGGCGAGAACAGGAGAGCTGGGCACAGCCATGTGTGCATTAGTTGATTGCTCTGGGCCCAGGCCTGCTGGTGCACAACTTTAACCCCAGCACACAGGAGGCAGAGGCAGACAGATCTCTGTGAGTTCAAGGCCAACTTGGAACTTGGTCTACACAGCCAGCCAAGAGTGTGTGTGTGTATATATATAATATATGTTGTTTTTCTCTTCTCAAGCCCTTGCCACCTGGCTTCCCTGGTAACTGTGAGTTAAAACAAATCCATTTTCCCCTTACTTGCTTTTGTTAGCATATTTCATCATGACAACAGGAAATGGAATGAGACACTGCCCACAGGGTTTCTCTAGGCCTGGGGCAGGGGCAGGTGTGGGGTTAGAGAACAGGGTATGGAGTAGGAAGATAAAGAGGGCAGCTCGCCCCTGAGCAGTGATCATGCGATGCTCCGTGCTAGGACCTGTGTGGTCCCTAAGGCTGGAGCAGTGGACCTAGTAACAAAGAGCCTGGCTGCAGCTCCTTTGTGCTGGGGTCTACCAGAGCACAGGCTTCTTACCTTATGTCTGGGACAGTGCTCAGGCGAGGCAGCACCTTCCGGGGCTCACTGCATCCCAGCAGGGGCAGAGGACCGTGATTGGCCCGGCAGAAGCTCTCAAAGGCCGGTGCTAGGGATCTGGGTAGGACCACCACGCTAGCCGGTTGCAGTCCTGGGTTGGGTGGGAGATGGGACAAAGGCACACTTGGTTGATGCTTGCAGACTCTTGTTGCTTCCACTTTTGATTGACTTGTTTCAGATGTGCACAAAAGTATACTTAAGTAGAGAGTAGAGAATGCTGGTATTCAGCTAGCTTTTCTCTTTTTCATCAGTCCTGGGTACATGGAATGATAACACATCTACTTAGCGCCCTAATATCTTCCTACCTCAGTCACCTAATCTAGAGAACCTTTCATACACATGCTCGGTTTCCATGGTGATTCTAAATATCATCAAGTTGACGACCAAGATTTACCATCATGTGTACCTTGCCCTGATGACTGACAAGACCAAGTGCCTCTTGCCTGTGTTGCTGTCTTTTGGGTAATCTTTTGCAGACATTGACCCTTGGTGTCTTTTGTCTATGCAGATGGATTTCTGAAGAGAGGGCACATACTCTCAACAGGGAGGTGGGGGGAAATCCATTTGCCTACCGTGAGCTCCTCTGAAGGCAAATAGCCATCCTGAGAATTGGAAATTTCTCTGGTTTTGGATGTACATGACCCTGATCTTGAATCTTGACTTTCTCTGTTACCCCAGTGAAGTGGCTTTTCATCTCTTGGCCTCGGTTTTCCCACCTGGAAGCTGGCATTTATCATGCCCACCTTAAGGAGACCTCCATGAGTTATGCTCTGCCAACATCACAGCCACTGTTAAAGGAACAATGCCAGATAACAAAACAGTATGTTCGGCATAGTCTCTCCTCTCTCTCTCTCTCTCTCTCTCTCTCTCTCTCTCTCTCTCTCTCTAAAGCCGATAAAAGAACTCAAAGGAATATATCTGCATAATAACCATGGCTGTCTCCAGGTGAAAAGCCTGCAAGTAACTCTGATGCTGTTCTCTACATCTCTCTCAGAGTTATAGAACTAAGACTGTCGTGATTGGGCAGGTCCCCCAAAGTCCATGGGTTGGAACTTGGGGTTCCTCTTCAGTGGCTCTCACCCTCCCTAATCCTCATGCTCTGCTGACCCCAACCATAGCATTATTCCATTGTTGCTTCATAACTGGAATCTTGCTAACTCTGTATGAACTGCAATGTAAATGTCTGATATGCAGGATATCCGATATGTGCTCAAAGGAGATGTGACTCACAGGTTGAGAACCCCTGCCCTGTGTGGTGGTGGGAGATAGAGCTTACTAAGATGTTTTTGGGCCTTGGCTGCAACCCTCACTGAAGAGTTAATGCTGTCTCCTGTGAGTTTTTATTCTCAAGGAACTGGCTTAGTTACCACAAAACTAAGTTGTTGGTATATGACTCCATTGTTCCTGCTTGCCCTTGGGCATCTAGCGGATTGCCTTCTGCTTTTCATACCCTTGGGCATCTAGTGGATTGCCTTCTGCTTTCCACCATGAATTAAAACTGTATGCATTTTGGCACCAGGCTCTTAGACTCTATAGTTTCCCAAACTATGAGCCAACAGAAACCTTTCTTTCATAAATTACTTACTTTGGCGAATAAACTTGATCGTCAACTTGATGGGACTGAGAATTACCATGGAAACACACATCTGGGCCTGTGTAGACTAGGTTAATTGAGTTGGTAAGATTCACCCTAAATGTGGATGGTACCATTTCATGGGCTGGGGTTCTGGGCTAAATAAAAAGTGGGTAGAGCAGCAGCATTCATCAGTCTCTGCTTCCTGACTGCTGGTGCCACGTGATCATGTGACTCCTGCCCCTGCCCCTGCCCCTGAACCTTCCCACAGTGGACTGTATCATTCTGAACTGTGAGCCAGAGCACACCCCTCAATCCATACATTGCTTCCGTTAGACATTTTGTCACGGCAGTGAGACAGATAACCAGCACACCCAGTATCAGATGTTTTGCTACAACAATTAAGACAGAGACCACACTACAGACAGAGCTGTGTTCTACTGGAGAAATAACTTTGGGAACAATTTTCCTAGCAGCCAGATGTGCTCCGTCAACCCTGAACCTTTCTGCCCTACATGAACACTGTTAGCAGACATTTACTGTGTGCTTATGGTGTTCCAGGTTGCTCTGTGCTAAGTGATTTGCGAACTCTTCATCATGGAGCTGTACCCACAGGATCAAAGGCTCTGGGCTTTTCTACGATGGGTCCCAGACTTCCTTGGAGAATTCGGGTGAAGTAGACATGACCATCTTCTGGGAAAACCCCAGGACCAGCAAGTGATGAGGTGATGCTGGTACTCATCATCTCAAAGCCCACAATGTCTGCCAAAGTCACCAACAGGCTTTCCGAGGGCCACCCCGGTGGCCCAGAATTACAGGTGCTCTTGCACCTTTCAAGCAGGCATAGCTTGGCTCCACAATGACCTGCGCCTGTGGTGAGGTGAGGGAGGGAACAGCCAGCTTAAAGGCCTCCCCACTTTCCGCTGCCTCTTCCCTCCAAAGCCTATTGTGAGGACAAATTGGATTTTTAATGCAATAAATCAGGGAGGCATTAGGGACACAATGCTTCTTTGTTTCCTTTTTAATTAAATGCACTTCTTCGGGAGCTGAGTTTAGGTTTTGTTCATCTCCACTGAGGGAGATGAATAGAAAAAGCCCCAAGTTGTCCCCATTAGCAACACAATGTGGAGTAGAGGCCTTGAGGTCCCTCTTAAAAGGGTGGTGGGGCTGACCAAGCTTCTAGATTTGAGCTTCATAGCCCAGTGTGATTCATGCATCCCTGGAGCTCTCAGGTTCCATTTAAGGTCATGACACTTTCTCTTTGTGGAGAGAAGCCGAGTGATTTATTCTGAGTCTTTTAACCAAAAATCAATTTTTTTTAACAAGAGGAAGAAAGAGGGAGAAGAAAGAAGGAGTTCTCCCAATCAGATTCACAGCCTTGAACACTCAGCTCTAGGCTGGCGATTTCCAGCTTTTGGAACAAGCCCCTTCTCCTGACCGATCATCCTACAGCAGCAGCTGGCTTGCAAGGAACTTAACAGCCCACATAGGCCTCCAGAAGGCTCCCATAGAGGAGTCTGTCCCCATTTTTTATTTTGGAAACAAGCTTGGGAAGGTAGCATACTTTACTCATAGTGTGACTCTATGAGGAGCAAATCTGAAAATCACACTGGAGCCCAGACCCGCTGCCCTCTTGAGGTCCCAGGAGGCAGTCGCTGTCTGGGGTAAAACTCATGTATGCTGAAGGTGTACAATGGCTTTGAAAGACCTTGGAAGTCTTCTATATAAATTCTGCTTCCTGTCATTCATGTACTATTGGACCACCTTCATTGGATCAGGCCTTGGCCATGTGACTTGTTTTGGCTGAGAGGACATTAGTCTGTGCACAGTGTGAGCAGTCTTGAGCCGTGGCTTGCATGCATCTTGGAGGACTGCTTTCTCTTGGAGTCCTGATCTACCAAAGAAAGAAGTCTGCCCACTAGGTTGGAGAGTCTTCTAGTTTACCGTTCTCTTGTTGTGACTAACTCTATGACCAAAAGCAACTTGAGGAGGAAAGGGTTTAATTTGGCTTACACTTCCAGGTTACAATCCATTCAGGGAAGGTCAGGGTGGGAACCCAAGTTAGGAACAGGAGCAGAAACTGTGGAAGAATGGCGCCTACCTGCTTTGTATTCAGCTACTTTTCTCAGATAGTCCAGAACCATTTACCTAAGGACAGGCTGCCCACAGTGGGCTGAGATCTCTTCATTAAATTAACAATCAAGAAAATGCTTCCACAGATATGACCACAGGCAAATCTGATGGAGACAATTACTCAAGTAAGGTCTCTCTCTTCCTAGGTGACTCTCAGCTTGTCGAGCTGACAATAGAAACTAACCAGCAGAGAGGCTCCATAAGAGGAAATTTTAGGTTTTCTGGTGCAGTCACCCCAATGGTCATTGGAATATGAGGGAGATGGTATCTTGGATGGTCCACCACGGTGCAGGCAGAGAAACTACATTGCTAAGAACAGCCTCAGTTGTAGACTTGTGAAAATTATGGTTCTAAGTTATTACTCTTTAGGGTGCAAAAATAAGTAGCCATTCACCCACAAATAATGATAGAGGCTTTGTATAGCTATCTGCTAAATCAGAACTCTTGCTTTAAGCACATTAAGCAGGCTACTGGTTTTCCCTTTGGTGTTTGTACCAATAACCAAAGAAGTCTATAGACTATTTTTGTTTGTTTGTTTGTTTGTTTGTTTGTTCTGTGGTGTGAGGGATAGAACCCAGGGCCCTGAGTTTAGTAGGCAAATTCTCTACCACACTGAGCTATATCCTAAGCCCTTATGTGTTTGTTTGTATTGCGAAATATTGGTGGGAATGAGGTCAGTGCCTATCACATGCCTGCATCTGCATGCCTGTGTGTGTGTGTGTGTGTGTGTGTGTGTGTGTGTGTGTGTGTGTGTGTGTTTCAGGACTTTTGGGAGTTCTGGGTATCATGCCTATAAGACAGTAGCAAGGGAAATTTGGTCTGGATCAAGAACAGTTTGGAAGGCACTGCACTACGGTCTGTGGTACTTTATCTGAGTGGGGGGGGTGGGTGGGCTTTTTTAAGTTTTATTTTTTTGAGATAGGGTCTCACTAAATAGTCTAGCCTGGTCTGGAACTCACTATATAGCCAAGGCTAACCTCAAACTCTCAGCACTGAGTATTCAAAATGCTGGGATTACAAGCAAAAGCCACCATGCCTAGCATAAAAACTTACTTTTATGGTCTGAGTCTGTGTGCAGTTCTCCATATGGAGTTGGGTAAGCAAGTAGAACTGGAGGCCCTAGACCCCTCTATAAGGTTTCTACAACTCAAATCTAGTCCAAACTTGTAGATCTTTCTGGGAAGCTAAACAGTGATTAATCCTTTTTCTTTTTTTTTTTTTTTTCTGATTGATAAGTGCACTAGTGTATAGGCATGCATGTGTGCATGATGCACACACACACACACACACACACACACACACACACCACATAGCCAGATGTGGTAGTACACTTGTATCTCAGAACTCAGGAGGTGGAGTCAGGAGGATCAGGACTCCAAGGTCATCCTCAGCTACACAATGAGTTTGAAAGCATCCTGGGCTAGCTCCATGAAACCCTGTCTTAATAAAACCAACCAACCAAACACTCAGCCAAGAGTCTAGTTCTGCTTACCTTCTCTCATGCTGGATGTGTTTCTGATGTTCGCTGCCTTTGGTAGACTCCTTATGGCAGAGGGAAGACAGGACCTCAGCAGAAATGAGAAGGGCAGCATACCATCCCCAGTGGGCTGCAGGGAACCTACACAATGGAGGAAGGGAGACTTAGAGGCAGTTTCCCTATAGGCTCAGAGTTGGTGTTGGGTGCTGTGCCCTGGACTAACTATGGCCAAGCCCTGATGAGGGTAAATTCTTTCTGTCAGGTCTCGATGTCCAGTTAGCAATGCCTAACACCTGTGACTTCTTCATGCTCTTCTCCTGACCTGTGGTGTCTTCTATCCTGCCCCGAGGGCTTTGTATTTCACAGAAGCAGCTCAGAACCCGGGTCTCTACAGAGCAGCCAATAGGCTGTAACAGGTGCTCCTTGCTCTCAGAACATTCCTTGAACTACTCTTGTGAGGCTGAAACCACAGCAGCCTAATGTTCTACTTGACTTTGAACTCCATTCTCTCCCCAGTACCTGGCAGACAGAGAAAGACACCTCTTAGACTCCTTCCACAGGCTCCAGAGCATCCATGCCAACCCAAGTGCATGGTACATCCCCAAAGTCTCTCCATGGACCAAGTAATGAAGGAATGGCATTTACAACCGCAAATGAAACCCCAACACCATTAGCTATCACCTATGACTTTCGATGATTAGATTGGGGGTTTTAGAAGGTGGGAACTTGGTGGGGATTTTTTTTTTCTTATACCTCCCTCTACCCACAGTGATTTATTTGGGATTTGGTAAAGGAATAAAAGTTGTAAAATTTAAATATAGAAAATGTTTTTAAACTACAATGAAAAGTTTAAAACTTGGGACTTGGGCAATTCCTCAGCTGGTAGAGTTGCTTGCTATACAAGCATGAGGTCCTGAGTTTGGATCTCCAGCACCCATATGGAAAGCCATGCACAGCAGAGGCAGAGAGAGGAGGAGCCCTGGGGCTAGCTGTCCAGCCAGTCTAACCAATCAGTGGGCTCCAGGCTCAACGAGAGACCTTGTCTAGGAAAGCAAGGTTGAGAACGATTGAGGAAGACTCTCAAGCTCTGGTCTCAACACACACATGTATGCGTGTGCACACACACCCTCCCACAAGTGTGAGTACATATGAACACATATACCACATACAAAGTTAAAAAAAAATAGAAATGGTCTCAAAGCTATAGGGAATTATGTCTAGAAGGAAATCTGCATAAATTGATTTCTTATGTGGTGAGCTGATAGCACCGACCTCTGACCCATGTCCTTTTTTTTTCTTCACATAGGCCAAGTGCCTGGCATAAGAACACAAAAGCAAATGTTTGTTGAATGACTGGCTGATTGCAGAAGGGAAGGATGCATGGCTTTGGAGTGGTGTTATAGTGAAGAATTTAGATAAGCCTGATTTTCCACAACTATTTCTATCACAAGAGATATACTCAGTGGGATTCAAAACCACCAATTTGTGTTTTCAACGCTAGCCAATCTCCCAGGTAGAAAACCATGCAAGTAAGCTTCGGGTCTAATTTAAGAAAGATTCGGCTTGTATAGAATCCCAAACAAATAAAAGAACACAATTGCTCTAGGAAGAAGAGAGGTGCATTTAAAACCCACTTGAGTGCTTTGGTTTAATAGCTGCAAACAAAGAGGGCAGAGAGGAGAGAACAGTTAGTCCTGGCTGGGGTGGGGAGTCCTCAGGGTCAGGTGAGGTTGGATTCCAGGCCCCAGTGCAAGGTAGAGCTAAGGCCTAAGGCAGCTGCTTTGGCAGGTTGAATCAGTGCCTGTCTCTAGGCTGACAGGCCAGACTCCAGCCCAAGTAGCCAGTCAGCAGCTGAAGTCCTAGATGCCTGTGGTTCCCAGAGTCACTGCAGGGAATTTAGCACCTCCCTCTGGCCCTCAGTAAAGGCCAAAGACAGAACTATTCAGCAACCACATGGGAGACGGCAGCCCAGCCAGAGGCTCAGCGGCTCCGCGTGTAACTGGAGGATGAAAGACTGCATAACAAACCCCACTGAAGTGAGCTACCCAAGGGGCATGATAGCCAAGTGAAAGCTGGGTTTATCAGTTCCAGCATCAGTGCAGCTCCTGGGGATGTTGCCTTCCTTCTCTTTATTTATCTATTGTGTAAATAGAAATATAAGCAGATCCCTGAATGACTCAGAAATAAATACAGCTAGGTAGGAACCTGTCCTGTGCAAAGCATCCTGCCGCATGCATGCTCAGCTGGCAGGAAGAACACAGTGTCTTCTCTAGTATCTAACTTCCTATCTTATGGATTATTCCCTGTACAGAGTTTAAACAGCCGGAGACTGTCCACTCTCAACAAAAGATAGCAGCTACCATAATTCCTGGGCACTCACCATGTACTAGACCATCTATTAGCTATTTACAATAGCCCTCAAAAAAAAGGTACTGTTAAACTCAATACAGACAGGGAAACGGAGGCTAGTGGAGGTCCAAGAGGTTACATAAAGTCCCATAATTAATGGGTAGAGATTTAATCCAAACCAGATTTCAGATCATGAGTTATTGGTAACTTCCTACCCATATCAATATCTGTATCTATCTATATATATATATATGTGTGTATGTGTGTGTGTGTAATCATCCATCCACTCATTGTCCATCCATCCATCCATCCATCCATGGTATGAAGAATCTGTGTATCTTAGCAATAGCATAGACCATTCCCTTATTAACCACGATATGTTTATAGGGCCAAAGTCCATATGTTTCTTCAATGAATGAATACCAAACTCCTTTGGCTTTCCATCATGACCTCTGGTGAACCTACTGCTGGGTATCCCACATATTTCCTTCCTCAGTATCTTGCTCTAGACGTGAGAGAAGACAAGATCCAAACAGTGAGTCTGCACTGAGTTCCAAGAAGTCACCTACCAATCAAGAGCTCTCTCTTTTCCTTTTAGAGAAGAACAAACCATCAAATCCACAAATACTATTATTCCCTGGTATCAAAGATGCCAATAATGGGCCCCAAAGACAATCATCCTCTCAGCAGGGCCTGACACACCCAACCTCCAGAGTAAAAATATCTGGTCTGCCACCATGGTAGATGACTGAAATTCCACCTTCACAGAGCCCGTCCTTTGCTTTATTCAAGCAATTTAATTTTAGGAATACATCCTAAGATATTTTCAAATAGTGAATAAAATCCCAGAGTACATGCCAGTGCTGTTTGTCATAAAAATAATTTAGATATAACTAAGTAGAAGTTTATTGAACATACCCAGGGCTGGTTATATTGAAGATTATGTTTGCATTTGTCCTAGTCTTTTTTCTGATATAACAAAATATCCAAAACCAAACAGCATATTAAAAAATATGTTTAGTAGTCAGGCATGATGGCACATATCTTTAGTCTCAGTATTTAGGAAGCTGAGGCAGAAGGGTTACCAATTCAAGGCTAGACTGGGCTACATAATAAGTCTGAGGCAAGTTTTGGCTATGTATCCAGATTGCCTCTCTCGAGATTTCAAGAGAAAAAAAAAAAAAAAAAAAAAAAAGAAAGAAAGAAAAAGAAAAGCAAAATGAAATCTAAGCTTATTTGTCTGGAAGCCCAGGACCTTGCAATGGCAACTGCTGAGGACTTTCTTGACAGGAAAGAGGGCATTACCTGGTAAGGCAGAAATGTAGCAAGACAGAGAAAGTGTGCTAACTCAGGTTTCTCTTCCTTTTCTTGTGAAGTCACTAATGCTACCATGATGGCCTAATTACATAAGAAACATCCTATCTTCAAATACCATTAACATACAACCTGGGAGATTAAAATTTCAGTTTGTCAACTTTGGAGGGTAATATGGTTTCATTTTGTTGCTGTGATATAATTCCCTGACAAGAAGCAATTTAGGGCAAGAAAAGGGCTTATAATTCCAGAATTATAGTTCATTGCTGCTGATAAGTCACAGGGGCAGGAGCTTGAGACATCTGGTCAACCATGTCCACAGTCAAGAGCAGGGAGAAATGAATGCATTTATGCTGCTTACTTGCTATTCAGCTAGCTTTCTTCATTCCTACAGTTTTGGATCCAGCCTAGGGAATGGTTCTATCCACAGTGAACTGGGTCAATTAAAGATCAAGACAACCCCCTACAGACATGCCCACAGGCCAATCTTATCTAGATAACTCTCCAACTGGGATGCTTCCCAGTTGATTCTAAACAAATTGACATTTAAAACTATCCAGCACATAGTCATGGAGGCACATGCCTTTAATCCCAATGCTGGGAATCAGGGGCAGGTGGTTCCCTGAGTTCAAAGCCAGACTGGTCTATAGAGTAAGTTATAGAACATCATAGCTACAGAAGAACCCTGTCTCAAAAACAAACAAACAAACAAACAAACAAAAAACAAAAAAAACAAAACAAAACAAAAAACCCCCCAAAACAACAAACAAACAAAAAACAAAAAACCATTAAAAATAATAATTAAACAAACAAATATACAACTAACCAGCATAGAGCACATATTCAAACCATATCAAGACCAGGAAATGTAGATCACTTAACTATTTTTAAAATGAGCTAGCTCTTTAAAATTTTGTATTTTATTTATTTATTTGCTTGTTTACTTATTTGTGCATGTACACACATGCACATGGATTGAACTCAGATTGTTGGACATGACAACAAATATCCTTAGCTTCTGAGCTATCTTGAGATAGCTTATGCCTCATCTGAAACAATCTCCCCAACATATGACGGAAACAAGGCTGGGGATTCTCTATGCACAAGTACACCACCCATATTCAAATCCATGCAGACAAACTCTGGAAGGGTGAACATGGAGGTATTGAGGAAGGAGCTTAAAATGGAAGTCCTACATGTGGAGAGGGTGACGTATTTCCATGCATCCCCAGGTCTGTCTTGGCCTCCATCCACTCTTAAGCCTCCCTCCTCAACCAACTCCAGGGATCTAGAGACTCTCAGGCAGGCCTTCCCTACTCATCCAAAAGTCTCACAGTCCACCATGAATCCAGATCTTCTTACTCTGTCCTTTCACACTTGTGCTGGCTGAGATAGTTCCACTGTTTTCCCAGAGAGTGTGTCCCACCTCTCCATTTCTGTGCTAGTTGGGGGGTGTTTGGAACACTAAGGAAGGGACC